CTCGTAAATAAACCCGAGCGGCCTAACTGAGGAAAAAAACAGGCTCCCCGCCGGGGTTGGTTGTGTTGAAATCATTTTCGAGCGGCCATAAAACTGCCAAACGCAGACGCCACGTTAGTCAAAGGGAAAAGGCAGGAAAAGAGAACGCGCACTTATTATTATCGCACAAAGCAAGCTTTCTTGACTTTCCAATTATGAAATCAGAAAGATATTTTTTACATGGGAAAAAACCAAGACAAACAAGTCTCACTGCAAAGGATATGGCGATATTGGGTATTTTTTTCTATCTCTTTAAATTTCTTTGTCGAACAATTATTTTTTTTACTTATTTTGTAAAATGCTTGCAACAATTAGAGAAATTAATAATGTAATTTTAAACTAAATGTGAGATTTTGTAAGGTAAAAATGCAAAATAAAATTTATATCCGGCAGAAATATTTTTTGCGTTTAGAAGTTTTGCATACTTTTATAATATTTCCAACACTAAAAAAGAACATATATTTAATGGAAAAATTAATAATGCATAGAGCCGAAAATTTTTCAAATTTATAACATTGAACAAAGAATTTGTAAAATCCTCCAGATGTAAATTTGTGCAATAAATATAGGACGAATAAACAACAATTATAATAAAAACATTGTTGATAAGCAAATGAAGACAAATAGCCTTGCTGGGTTTGCTTTTATTTTTATTAATCGCCCCTATACGAAAGCGCCGAAATTAGAGATGCGCCGTGAGGTCGGTCGCCCTCATAACCAACCAAAATTACACCCCCAGCAGAGTTCGAGGGACGTAAATATGCCTGTCTCGTATCCCGCCCACTTTTTCCGCGGGAGCATCTCATCTAAAAAAAGTTCTATAAAGGATGATGACGAGAGACCACCCAGCACGAGCTAGATGGTGTCCGTACTAATATTATCATAACTAGCCCGGGAGATCGTAAAAAGAAGTGTGTTTTATAGGAAGGAGCCTGCAGGATGGGATCATAGGAGAGTTCAGAAAAAAAAGTGTGTGCCATACGAGGAAAACCAGCAGCACCCTTTTGGAATAATAATTCACGATCGCTCACATACCACAAGAGACCATAAACAGATATTTCTCCGCAGTTAAAAAATATCTTTAGAAGAAAACCTTTATCAATCACACTTTTACCGCACAAAATTGATATTAAATTCTATTTTTATATTTCCGAGGTCATTGACTATTAATGTTTTCCAATCGTGCGATAATTCTTTATTAAAAATACAATTTTTTATGAAAGACATATTTGAATATTATAATTCTAATAGCGGGATATTGTTTCTGTCAAATGGTTCTCTATTAAAATATTTGCTTTTTTTAATTATCAGCCAAAGTTTGTAAATAATATTTTAAATAAAAATAGGTTTCATCTCAATTCTCAACGATGTATCGCATAAAATTGAGAAAGATTGCCTTGTAATTTTTCCACACAAAAAATCTTGAGCTGTTGTGGGAGAATAAATAAATTGAATTGAAAACTTTTCATCTAATTTGAAGGTTAACCCCCATTAATTGTCAAAATACATTCATTTCGTCTAGATTTATAAATAATTTTTCTATAAAAGTCTCCACCGCATTAATGTGTCACAATTATATATAAATAATTCAACACAAAATGTGATGAGTCACCTCATCCCTGACGCTTCTTCTTTCTCTAGCTCTGATCCATTGAAAAAAATAACCTGCTCTCTGGCTTGTGCTTTTTAAACACGACGCAGAGCAGGCAGATGTTTTTCGCTGCTGCTGCTGGTGGAGGAAAACCAGCTGACGATCACGCCTTTTTTGCCATAATTTGCAAAACATGTTTTGCACACAGCTTGTGTCTATATAATACACTTCATCTGCCACACAGCGATGTGTACATAAAATCGGCAGACAGCAGGGAGCAGCACGCGTGTCCAATTAATAAGTAACACGGCCATAAAACACGTTCGGCGCGAAAAATGTAACAAATAAGTCTGAACTCCTGCGAACGGGAAAAATACACGTTTTAAAAAGAGTGATAATTATTTTTAAATTTTCAATAGCTCCAAGCAAAAAAGTGGATTAGATTTTTATTTTTATTATACCAGTATGTGATTTTATTGGTGTTATACAATAAAAATTGCAGCATAATGACGAAGAGTAAGACAAAAAAAAATTGGTAGCTGCAATAAAACCATAAAAATTGAGCTAAAAGGGACGAGTACCGTTGTAGACAAATTTAGTTTTTTTCTAAGTCGTACCCGCGCGTTTTTCTGTGGACTTAATCCTTTCTGATCAGAACAATTTCACTCTCTATCGCATTCGAAAAACGATTAAGAGGCGTGAAATCTCTGAAATATGCAGCCTCTTGAAAATATATTGAAACGCATTTCCATCTTCATTAACGCATTGTCCCATTTTACTCACGGCAGCAGCTTTCGGGCGACGTTGATTGTTATTAATGATAATTTTTCGAGATGGAATTTTTTTCTCTCTAGGACCTTATGCGGTCGAAAGCGTGTGTGTTGACCTTGGAAGGTCGCGCCTCCTCATTTTCCCTATTTAGTTTTCCTCTGGCCGCGCCGATGTTGCGCGTCGCTGGCTTTTGTGTTATTGTTATAAAAGCTGCAAAGGAAATTACATTTCGGCGCGCGGCGGTGGCGAGTTGACCCAAAAAAATGCAAGCCGCTAGTCTAAAATTAACTCTTTTCCTTTGCTGGCTCGATTTCCTGCCTCAGTATTAATATACATGTTTTTGATAAAATGGCTTGAGAAAGGAAACGGTTTGTCGCCGACGATATTTGCAAAGTCACGTGTTGACGCAATGACTCAATGCTTTTATTTGTGCGTATTGTACACTGTGTTGTTGTTTTATCACGCGGTTGAACGCGTCCGTATATTATTTACTTATGTGTTGTATGCATTTTTAGCTTTATCTCTTTGACAGCCCATTCATGTTCAACGGACGCATCTAGAGAAAAAAGCATGCAGATGCACGAGAGGCGTTGGAGCAACTCATTCAAATGCAAAAGCTTTTGTTCTATTCTGATGCTCCGAAAGTGGGAGGACACTCAAAACTTTGTTGTGAAATTTCTCCGCATGATTTGAATAATAGAAAATAAAAAAGAAGATATATAGTTGTAGAAATTCAGGTGTTTTGCAATAAAAATCCATTGTCTTAATAATTTACAGCAGTTCGCTTGATGCAAGCTGTCAAAAGAAAAAAGAATAATGAAAATTTCATTAAAAAATTGAGTGGATTTTCTTTTTGCGTTTTTGCTTATGTGCGACTTCTTGATTTTTATATTATATTATTCTTTATTTGTTTGAAAAATCCTCATGACTGCTTAGACTTTACATATCATTATGAAAATATGATGTTAATGATATTAATAAAAATTGTAATAAAAAATTATTATTTCTTTATTTTTTTACTATTAATACAAGTCCCAAATGACAAGACAAGCAACATTACAGAAGTGCAAAAAAATACAAAGATAAGTTATTTTATTTTATAATCATTTGAAGTCACCAAAATTTATTAGAATTTTTTTTTTAATTACAAGCGGAATTACATTAATAATTAAGTAAATGCAATTTAAAATAGATTAAAAAGATAAAATTATAATAATAATAATTATAAAATAAAAAGTATTGTAATTAAATATACCAAAATTTACAATCTAAAGTTGTTAAATAATTTATATAAACAAGCACAAACTGGCACAAACTAAAATTTTTTAATTTAAGCCATTTCATTCTAATTGTAAAATAATTAAAAAGATTTAAATTTTTCTAACCTAAACTTTAATTCGTGATGATATAAATTAATATAAACCAACAATAATTTCATCATAAATAGAATAAAACAGTAAATTTTGCAGCTCGTTATTTCCACCTAATCGCACCGCCCGCAATTAAAGGTTAACATTTGCACAAATTTACGTCAGCAGCATTTGGCAAAAAGCGCCACAATTTACGCAACAAAAACTTTGTAAAGCATTAAGAGTCGTATGAACTTTTTTTGAAGTGTGTGTCCGCCAAAAAGTGACGTACCGTTTTAATGTGCGTGTATGAAATTTCCAAAAATGGTCACCTGCTTTATGAGCACCAACCTTCTGCTTCTTTGGTTCTTCTTGGGAGTTTGTTGGCTCCGACTCGCAGGAAGCGCGTTTCGCATTTAAATTCGATTCACGCCGTGTTTTGTATAAACTCGCTCTGAAAATGACTCACCTTCCTGTCTTTGGCGAAAAGAGCGAGAAAGGGTGTGCGTAAATAGCGAATCTTGAGGTTTCCATCTCGCGGAAATGGAAATGCTCGCGCGCGTGAGCGGCTCTCTCAGAATTTTCAAATGGAATAATAAAACTCTCTGTCGGTCTTATCGCTTCTCTAATCAAAGATTGAATTGTTTGCCGGCGTCGAGTCACCAAAAGAAGAATATTAGTTCTCAAAAGGATTTTTGAATTTATAAATTATTTGGTCATTTAAAGCCGCATAATATTGAGAGAATATAATTCATGTTATGCAATATTAAATGAAAAGAAAATTTGTGTTTGTAGAATAATTGTGGTTAAAAATTAAAAAAATGTACATAATCAAATCAGTGCCTTTGATTTTGTTATTCAATTGTATATTTTCTAAACATACTTCTTAATTATCTTTAAAAACATTAAATTTTGCGATTTGTTCACCCACAGCCTGTATATACATATTTTACTTGCCTAACAATAAGATGCCATTACTTGTGTAACAGACCAGATGATGTTTATTTATATTATTGATTTTATTTAACATAATTAAGGAAATAAATATAGCACAATGTAATTTGGGAATTAAGAAATGATTCCCTTAATAATATTTATTGTTTATAAAGATTTAGTATTTATTTAATTTATAAAATAAATTACTGTGGAAGAAAACATAAAAATATGTATAGTATATTATTTATGTTTAATTTAAGTGCTTAAATTTATAATTACTTATTTTTTTATAACAAAATATAAAATTTAAAAACCTTTTTTATCGGTGGGTGGTGCAGAAAGGGTTGACGCTAGGTCTTCGTTGGAGACGGACATGGGGGCGGCTCGGAGGCTGTGCCTGAGGGGTGACATCCGCAGCAGCCGCGGCAGGGCCTCGCCCTCCGAACTCTTGAACAGCACCATCGCCGGCTAATCCATTGATTGATTGACGACCCGGGTATATCCGACTCTGACAAATAGGGCAACGAACGAGACCGAGTGAAGTTCAATTATTTGAAAACGCGGCGAGAGCAGCGTGCGCGTGATCCGCTCTCGTGCACTGCCAGACAAACACTGACTGAAGACCTGCCGTGCACGTTGATACTGAACCGGCGAGCACCAAACACGCTCTCGGCCTGCCGGCGAAGAGAGGAAACTTTAATATAAATGAATGCGGCTTGGCAGTGGGGATCGGGGTCTTAAAATATTCAATATTAGTGCACTAAAATTTTAGATTAAAAAAATTTATAAATTATTGTCACTTTTTTCGGCCTTTTTAAACTGCAAGCAAAAACAATAGTGAGCCTCAGAAAAACTTTTTGAGGACGATTTTTTTTTGAGGCAGTATTATTTTTACATATTTCAAACGATACGTCATCTCATAAGAAAAATCAAATTAATTGCTTTTGATTGAGTTTAATTCTTGGATAATTACCATTGCTTTTTACGGGAATTGTCTGAAATTGCAGAGTTTAAAAATTGGCACCTTGATGAATAGAAATCAAACAAAATTCGTATCATCCTGATTAAGTTTTGGAAAAAATAAAATAAAAACGGAGCTCCACATTTAATTAATCAATGGGAAACGTTCCAGTAAAAATTGTTTCCAGTGTAGATGCAAAAACAAGACAACTCATCTTTAAAAAAGATACCAAAAAAATATCTGTTTTGGCGACATTTGATTATTTTGCCACGTGAGAATCAATTGCATTTTCCCTTAACCTTTTGAGAGAGCATATTGAATTATTTTTTAATTTATACTTTAAAGTTCTTTAAAATATCTTTATTTTGAAACTTTCTAGCTCAAAATCCACATAAATTTTTTATTTTCTTTTTTCTAGTAATCCAAATTCTCCCACTTATTTAGCTAGTTTGAAAGTTGCCGTGAATAACGTGAATTGCTTTTGGAAAGAGAAAAAAAGTCGCAACCACAAAATTCCGAAGCACCCCAATCGAAGCCTGTAATTTATGGAGGGTGAAATTTGAGCATTTCTCCGCCCTCTAACAAGGTGCAACGCATGCTTAAGAAAAATAGAGATAATATCCGTCGGTGCTGCGTGTGAAATTTCGCTTCTTTCCCACGAAAACGTCTCGCCTCGCAGTGCATCCGAGACGAAAAAACATCAATCCTTGTGCACCATCATCCATCCGTCCGTCCTTCCAGCCGTAACGACACACATCTCTCAAGTTTTTCCCTCAAGAGGGGTGCTAATTTTAGCCTAGCGGGGGTGGACTCATTGAGAAGCACATGGTCGACCAATAATTAGGCACATCACAGACGCTCGCTAAGAAAATCTCTGCGGCTGGCACTTTTTTCACTTGAGATCCGAAAGCAGATGGCCCCGCCGAGAAATTAAGAGAGAGATGCATTTATTTATTTTTTACTACCGAGCGCGGCTGTGCTACCGATACGGCCAGACGCCCCCATTCGAAAGTTTGGTTTTTCTTATCCGCCGGAGATTAATTTGTGCGCTGTGGAATATGTGTTGGCCATTAAAAGTCTCAGCTGTTGTGACAAATGGAAATTTTATTATTCGATCCTGGTCGCTGCTTTGAAGTGTATGTAGAGCTTTCAAAATATCATGTCTAAATATTTTTCATCGCTTTAAATTTATACATTTTGATTATTGTATGAGCAAATTGTTTTTACTTGTAAAAACTGGTGCAACATTTTTATTATTTTTGCAAATTAACTTAAGCTAAATGTTTTTTTATGAACTCCAACAGAAATTTAATGCTGAAAATGAGAAACATTAATAAAAGGTGTATTATAATTTTTTTATAATTATTTTATGCTGCAGCTTCACGGTGGCGTTTAAGTATTTTGTTTTCTTCCCAAGTTTGTTCCAACTAAACACACAACAATAGATCTATCATCTTTTAAAATTGCGTCATTCTGATTTTGTCTTGTTGTCATATTAAAAACAACATTATCATAAACAAAATAATTTTAACCAGAAAGTTTTAAATATTTGAAGAATAATTTCAACCCCATAATTTTTTATTACATGTCTGGACCAATTCAAAGCTTTTTTCATAAAAATTGACATTTATTTTCATCGTAATTTTTTAATTTTTATACTGTTATGCAACTTTTTTTTGTACAGCAAATTATCAAAATAAATATGAACTTGGGACATAAAATTCAGTGCCATCACCTTTGTCTTAAATTTTGCTATATCAATGAAATATCCATAAATAGAAATTTATCGCTCAATATATAGGATAGGTTGTTCCGTTATTTTTTCATTCATTCAATATATTTAATTGAAGTTACATCTATTTAAAATAAGTAAACTCTGAGCAAAAAAAATAATTATGATAAAAAGGGACTTTTGATAACTATACTGCAGAAAATTATCCATCAAAACACACAAAAATGATTGAATAACAAATTTGAATGAAATATTTCACATGATGCAATATCATTCATATTATATTTTTGCCTTCTTCAATGAAAAAAAAAAATTAAATTGCCTTGGAAATGGAAACGTAATAAGAGTCGCAACTGACGCACATCAAATTTCGTTCGACAGCACAAACTTGGCATTTTCTCGCACGCACAGAATCGGAAACCTAAACACAAGCCAGAGCGTTTCACGCCTCGTATTTCTTTCTCTTTCCCTGAATGAAATTTGAGACAAGTCAGACGCTTCATACTGGCTTTATTATGCATATGGGCATGTTCTGTGTGTCGGTGCCAGAGACAAAGGAGGGTCCTTTCTTCACTTCGCTCTTTGCCGGCCCTCGCTCTCAGCCCTCGTCTCTCTCACACGGTCTTTTGATAAAACACAGCACGATGCAATAAAAAACTTTATCTAGATATTTTTGAGACGGGCCTGCTGTCTAGAGAAGATGCAAGAAAGGGAGAAAGGAAAGAACAAAGAAACTGCCTGCAAAATTATTTTCTGCAAAGAACGTTTCGTCGCGAGCTTTTTTTCTCAAAATAGAATTAAAAGAGCGCGAATACAAAGGAATGAGATTGCATCGAGCTTTTTTACTTGAGGAGAAAAGTGGAATTTTTTATAAAGAAAAGAAATAAACTTAGCAGCAGATAATTGGATTTACTGTGCGTCTTTTTTCAGAAAAGAGGAAACTTTTTTCGACAGAAGCACGCGCAAGGAATAATAATAAATGCAGAAAATCAATTTTCGTTCCTACCTGCAGTAAGTGCGTACATTCCTGATGATGAAGTTTTGCAGTTCAGCTCCTGCGGCAAAAGGGGCCAACAACGTTGGACTTGTCACCGAAGTCACCTGAGAACTGAAAGAAAAGGGTGCCCGGCGCTGCCCGACATAAAGAAATGGACATGGGAACTGATTCTGAACCTTCTCTTTGACACTCACCTGACCACTTTCATATTTCAGTTTGAATCGGGAATTATTTATTTATATTGTTCACGCTTTACAGGCTCAATCTAAATGAAAACATAAATCCTTCATACCACTCAGGGCTAAAATTTACACGACGCACACACGTAACACCATTATTTAAATATTGTGAACTTTGTTGTTCTAATTTTAAATATTTATTAATTATACACACAAAATATTTTTAGTTTTAAATATATTTTGCAATTAATTTTTATTTTTTTTTAATGTTTTTTAATTATGAGTATTTGAATAACACTAATTTTATACTTAAGTGTGCATTCAACTAGTGCCAAATAAAACTAAGTATTTTAATAAATTTTATATTCAACAGCTTTCAATTTCATTAGTATGCATTATAATTAACATTTAATGGAACACCTCTGCATTGATGAGTCCATAACAGAACCGGAATAGGTTTTTATTGCTAAAATTACATGTTAAAAGATGTGACCTTACAAGGAAATAATTTTGAAGATATGAAAATCTTCTAGCTATTTAATTGCTTGATAAAACATACCTCTGCATTAAATTTCTGAAAGTCAATTTCTTAGCGAGTTGAACCGTTCAATGCCATTTACATTAAATATACGAAATATAGAGAGTGAACGTGTACTAATCACCACTTTTATAATATTTTCGTGATTAGCAGAGTGATGATTAGGCTTTTGCTTTCACCGTCGAAATCCACAACTGTGAACGCATTCAATTATTTTTGCGAAAGAGATTCTCGAGCTCAGGCAGCGTCGCGTGAATCCTTCCTTCGCGGCCTTGGTTATCAGAGCGAGGTACTTATTAAAAAGCTGGCAGTCGCCTAGTCTCTTTTGATTTTTCGCGTGTCTGGATGCGTGGCCAAATTTGGATGGCGGTTGCGGGGGCCGCGTGGGCGCGACGGCGGAGGCGGCGCCCTGGCCTCAAGAGGTTCTTCGCCTGTAAACAAGTGACTTCGAGAGGCCTCCAAACGTTTGCGGATAAACATCGCCTAATGCTCTGCATAATTAATTCAATCAAAACCCACGCTTGGCGAAAATACATATTTGCCGGCCTTTGAGCTGATGAGAATTTAAATACCCCCTTGCCTTTGAATATCGATCCAGGAAATAATAATGAAAAAATTGCAAAAAATTTAAATTTATTAGGTGGAAATTATATGCTAAGGTGATTAATTATTGGTCTTTCTTATGTCACTTTATCACAACGCATTTTCTCAATTGCAAAATGCACCCAATTTCCTGCTTCCTTCGTTTCTTGACCATGGGAACACCACAGTTCGCGGCTTTGATAAACTTTAGTTCCGTTAAAATTAATCGCGGACTTGATGGCTAGATCCGGTAATATTAAAGACGCAATTTATAAATAGTTATAATATGCTTTTCTTATGCGAGTGAGGCTTAGAAAGAAAAGAGGGAAATCTTTTGTGGCAGTGACTGAAAAAATAAAAAGAATACTCGGACAGAAAAATAAATAAAAGCATTATATAGTAATAAAAAGATGTTAAAGATGTTAAGTTAAAACTAATTTACATCCTGTATTTAAACTTTTGGCTTCTATTTATGGAATAAGGAATAAATAATATTAGGCCATTGCAGTTGCTTTAATCGATTAAAAACTTTTATTATCCTTACAAATTGTACATAGTTTATCAATGATATTTTATACGTTGGTATCATAAATCAAGAAGCCCAGAATAGAAGGAAAAGCAGATTTTATCCTTTGGTACAACATAATTTTCAGATGCGTTTGCTTTAAATATATTTATAAAAAAAAATTGAATATTTTGTTATTTAATAAACCACTTTTGCTCAAAATCCAATAAATAAAAAAACGCAAAATTATTATTTATTAAATATATTTTAAAATAGATAATTTAAAATCAATATAAATAATTATGTTACTATTAAAATTAAAGTGCTGTAAAAATATTTAACATTATTTAGATAATTTTAATGCAAGTTAATTTCAAAAAATTAATTTTTAAATTATGTAATCTTAAATCATTCTAATTAAATATTAACACAGCAACATTCAAATTTATTTACAAAGCAAAATAATATCAGAAAGCAATAATTTCTAGAAGAGCCCGAGAGAAAGCGCCTGCATCTGCGAACGGTTCACCACCCCTGCTCGAAAAACCCACCCCTAAAGCGATCGATGCAGCTGTTCCAGAGAGGGATGCAGCGCACCACTCTCCGGCACCCTATTCATCCCCCGAGCACCAAGTTCTCCAAAACGACACGGTGAAAAAACCGCCAGCCGCACTAGCAACCCTTTGGATTGCCACCCTACCGATTTAAAGGATTGAAAAACCGGTTGGGGTGTTTGTTCGAGAAGAAGAAGAGTGGCCGCCGCTGTGCGAGAGATGCGCTCCGCGGCCACTGTGCTTTTGGCCCTCGGGGCCCTGGCCGCCTGCAGAGGTAAGCCCCGCCTTAAAGGGCCCAGCAGCGGTCCCATTCGGGACTTCACACCCAACACGGGTGGCCTGTTGTTGCATTTAAAAATTCTTAAATATTCAGCTCTGGAATTATCTAAATAATTGTTGCTGCACTAAATAATCTGTTACTTTTAACCATTCAAAATTTAAGAGCATTTTTCTTTATAGATTTTTAATTAATATTGCGTGCGATATTTGCGTTAAAACTCAGTAATTTGACAACATTGGTGTTATAGTTGAGTAAAAATGCATTATAATCTCAGTTTCTTTATTTTTTACAATAAAGCATCGTGTACATTAATTAAAAAAAAAAACATCATATACTTCTTAATTCTCTTTGTTTTAAATAAGAATGAAAGCATGATGGCGCCCGTGATTTTTGCAGCAGTATGACTGATTGGCTTAATTTTGCAAATTTTCGAAGATGAACCAGGGACTTTTTGAATTTTGATCAATTTTTAAGTTTTGGGATTTTGACATCTTTTTCAAGGATGTTCAAAGACTCCAAGCATTGTAAATTTTACAGAATATTTTTTTAAATTATAATTGAGACTCAATTTGACTGGGATTAATATTTTAAATATAAATCCAAAAAATTTTAAAAATATATTAAATAATAATTAATTTTATAAAAGAATAGTTAATTCAATATACATATTATATTCTTGTACGATCAATTGAGTTCATGTTCGAAGTGCATGTGAAATATTTTAATTGGAATTTGATTCACTGAAATTTGTGACTGCGGGGCGCGTCTGTCTGCCTGATGCTCCACTCTTGCATAAAAAGCTATGGATCTGCATGGCCGTGGCCGCTAGCTGGCTGTTAATAGGTTGGTCTCAATAACGCCGTGGACGAAACTGACCCAAAGCCCCCGACCTGGCGACACAGGCGAGGTTTTGCCCCCAGGTTTGAAGACGGTCGAGGCGAACCCGGACGCCAAACGGCTGTACGACGACTTGCTGTCCAACTACAACCGGCTCATTCGACCGGTCAACAACAACTCGGAGACGCTAACAGTCTGGCTTGGACTCAAGCTCAGCCAGTTGATCGAAGTGGTGAGACTTTCGTTCCGAGAGGCTAATTGTGGCCAAAGAAAGGCGCTGTTTATATATATTTACTATTACATACTTCTTATATCAGTGTCTCGCCTTTGAGGTCCTGGGACATGTCTGGACATGTCCGTTGAAATTCAACTCTCATCAGCAAGAAGTGATCTTCAAAGAACCGAGACCAAAATTTATACAAAAATTTATATTTGCAGTATAATATGAATTAATATTGACAAGGAAATATATGAAATCTTCAGTAACTGATTTTGGAGCAAAAGAAAGGGTTGCTTGACCTAATTAAAGGAACCAATTTGGCTAAAATCCACTAATTGAAAACTACAAAAATGGGGTTCAATGTTACATTTTGTATTTAAAATTACAGTTACAAAACAGAATTGTTGGTTTTCTGTGAAATTAAAAGTTAGTTTTTATATTTTAATAATTCCATAAATACTCAAGATAAACCTTTTATAAGCGTCTCTAAACTTTTACCTACAAATATAAAATTGAGCTACGTTAACAACCACCTTTTTAAATAGTTTTATTTTCAATATTAATAATTCGCGTCTAAGTTTCCTTAACAGAATATTTTAAATAAATTTCATAATAAAAAAAATCGTGAATTTTAGCAAAAGGTTCTTTCCACATAATTCATTTAATTGGGTGCATATAATTGCATTATATTTACTGATGTTTCCATTAAATTCCTTGTTTAATTTGTGATTGGATTTTCATCGTTTTCAGTCGTTATTGTACGCCTTGGGCGAGGAAATTGAATTTCAGATTTTTTACCTCTTCGAAAAATATTTCAACTCACCAAGAATAAAGAGCTGGAAAATTTTCAAAATTAAGCAGGGCACTTATTTTTAATTAATTAATTTTTTTCAAATGTCTGAAATTCAAAGCAAATTCTCTCCAAGGCGACTCTCTTCCCCTACTGGTGACACGTCTCAGCAACAATTCAGTCTGAATCTGGCCTCCCCAGACCTGTCCTTGGAGCTCTTTTGGCTCTCTGAATGGCCACAGTACTCGGCCCTTACGTTATTATTACTATACATGCAAACTTATATAAAATATAATTTTACATAAATCCCTGCAACGTGATATATCCGCTGATATATATTCTCTCTATATATAAAAAAAAAAAATTAAATTCTCGTGTTGCATGCGTTTGATATTAATTTGCTCGGTCTGAGCGCCATGACACCTGGGGCCGGCCCTAAGCTGGGTCGGCCTGCTGAGCTGCTGCAACACGTGTCCACCCTCTCGTGTGCTGCTTTTTGTGGTGCAGTCTGTCTGATACTCGCATTTGTCTGTTTTTTTACTGTGCATCTCGTGGAAAACCACATTAAACCATGCCAATTTGTAAGTGCCGCTACTATCCATTTATCTTGTTAGAAATGACTGACCTGACACACGATATTTATATATGAACCCGACTACACTATCAATTTCACTCTCCCACACACCAGAGCGCAATATACGCAATGTGGATCTCATATCAACCTTTTTATTTTTTAAGTACAACTTATTATGTATATTTTTGAAAATCGTGTCTCTCCAACACGAATGTCCTCCCCTGCGCTGCTTTTTGCCGTAGTGCGTTAGAAGTTCGTGTGATACTGTTTACTCCCCCGTCATAAAATTTATACTATATTTGGTAGTGCAAAGTCCATCTATAGTTATTATTGGATGTCTCTCTATATATACAGAAACATACACAAACACGTGACAATATTGGCCGTAAACAAACACACACTATAGAGTCGATTTGCCACCACAAAACTGAACACACACACATGCCCGATTCTCTCTCTGACCCCAAATGTTTGTCCCGGGACGTTGCGAGGTGAGGTTTTGGTGCTCGAGTTTTCCGCCACGCTTGACCTTCTCGCTGCATGCGACCTGCACTCTACTCTTCTCACAAGTCAAGAGGCACATGTGATACACTCGTGTAATAACAAAAAAAACGGCGCCCCTTTTCTCACTAACTCTCTCATAACAAAGAATGAAATTTTAATTGACCTCTTGAGAAAGGGGAGCGTGTAGTTAAAAACGGGGTAACAAACGTAAGGGGCTAATTATTTTAGATTAGTTGCGAGCTTTGAATAATTTTTTTTTTCAGTTACATTTATAAAACAGTTTTGTGACTGTAAAAAGGATAGTATTTTCTTCAAAAATTTAAGTTTTCAGTAAAAAAAAAAAGAAAACGTTTTTAAGGGAAATTAAAATGCCAAGAATTTATAGTTATAATAGGAGGTGGAAACTTATTAAATTTATTTTATGCAAATAAAGATGCATATTTGCGTACTATGAATATTAGAATTACTTTCTGCTTCTCGGAAAGTTTTTACTCCTTTGATAAAAAAATTAAGTCGAACAAACAATTATAACTGGTTGTATTAGATTTTTCTAAAAAACAATCTCAGCACCGTCCAACGACCCCCGTCTGCCCACCCTTGCCCCACCAAATTCACACACCACACCACACCTGACGGCAATCTAGCTCCGACCCAAATGAGATAAACTCTATAGATCCGAATAGACACATCTAGTCTCTCCCTTTTCTGATTTTTGGCTTTTGTCTTTTTACGAAAAACCCTTTTCCAAGTGTGTCTGCATTAATGATAAATAAATCAGCATGCTTTCTTTCGCACGTGATATATATATTTCTTCATAATATATAAAGTATATTATTATTCCCTCTCTCTATTTCTATTACAAGTTAGTGTCATGTCACTCTGTAGTCACACTAGAAATAAAATATTAAAAAAAAACTCAATTTCGTGCCGTCCGTGCCATTCTCACCGAGAGCCTTTTGCAGAACTTGAAGAGCCAGGTGATGACGACCAACGTCTGGGTGGAGCAGGTCAGACGAACCCTTTTCACGCAAAGCGACAATCGCACTAAACGTCTTGTTTTTCTCCTCCTTTTGTCCGCAAACTACAGAAATGGATCGATTACAAACTGCACTGGGACCCCGAGGATTACGGCGGCGTGGAAATGTTGTACGTCCCGTCAGAACACATTTGGCTCCCCGACATCGTCTTGTTCAACAAGTGAGCCGAAAATTCAAAATGAGATTTCGCGAAAAAACTGATTTGGAATAAATTTCGTTTTGCAGCGCCGACGGAAACTACGAAGTGACGCTGATGACAAAAGCAACTTTGAAGTACACCGGCGAAGTGGTGTGGAAACCGCCCGCCATTTACAAGTCATCCTGCGAGATCAACGTCGAGTATTTCCCTTTCGACGAGCAAAGCTGCAACATGAAATTCGGCTCGTGGACTTACAATGGAATTCAAGTAATTTATTTAAAAAACATTGAAATAATTAATATTATGTGTGCAAAATAAAGGTTGATTTGAAGCACATGGAGCAGAAAGCTGGCAGCAATTTGGTCAAAATTGGAATTGATCTGAGCGAATTTTACTACTCGGTCGAGTGGGACATTCTTGATGTTCCTGCGCGCCGAAATGAGGAATATTACCCTTGCTGTGCTGAACCTTATTCAGGTAAATTTTTAATCACGCTTAGCTCCACAAAAAAAAAATCTGGAAATTAATACAATTGCTGACTTTAACTGATTGTTTATTTTCCGTATAGATGCCTAATTTTAGATGAGTTTAAAAAAATTATTTTAATGATCTGTGCTTGAAATAAGAATCGCTAGTTTGAATAAATACGTAATAGCCCATCAAATGAAATTGGCAGTTTGATTACTCTGCTTTGGTGATATGATGAGGCAAATTCATATAAATATTTAATAATATCCTCATCTTTTCCAAACAATATGAATCTAAATTTTATAAATGTTTAGGATTGTAGTAAGTAAAACATAAAAAATAATTAAAAAATAATAATTTATTGATATTAAATTTAATGTTACATATTGATGCGATGTATTTTTTAATCATAAAAAAGGCATTTAATTTTTTAATAATTTAATTATTAAATGTTTTAACTGAAAGTTTTATTTAAAATTCCCAGACATCACATTCAAATTGGTGATGCGTCGAAAGACCCTTTTCTACACGGTCAACCTGATCATCCCTTGCGTGGGCATCACCTTCCTGACCGTGCTGGTTTTCTACCTGCCCTCCGACTCCGGCGAGAAAGTGACCCTTTGCATCTCGATCCTGCTGTCGCTCACTGTGTTCTTCTTGCTGCTGGCCGAGATCATCCCGCCGACATCGCTGGCCGTGCCGCTGCTTGGCAAGTACCTCCTCTTCACCATGATTCTCGTCACGCTCTCCATCTGCGTGACTGTCTGCGTGCTCAACGTCTACTTTAGGTAAGTTTCAACACTTTTCAACTGTAATTTTAAAAAAAGATTTAAAAAAAAAACAGATTTCACACACTTTGTGATTAATTCAAACAAAAAAAATCAGTTAATTTTTAAATTAAGCACACACCAATTCTCTTGAAAGGAAATAAATGAAAATGAAAGTGAAAGTGAGAGTTTATAAGATTTTAATTTTCCTTTCAATAAAAGAAAGAACAATTTTCAAGAATAATTTTTAATTGGAAATTTTTAAATCAGAAAATTTGGTGTCTGCTTCAAACACCAGCCTGAACAAACTTGTAAACCTAATATTTAATATTCTTAACAAAAATTACGCGGTTCATCTAAAAATTTTTAAAGTTAAACTAGACACGCGTAAGTCTCGCTTCAAACCGAGGGCGTTCATTTCACATCCACTTTAAACTTTGACCGTAAAAGTACGTAGCAAAATTCTCGATAATCTCGGTATTTTTCTCGTCGCCGGTCAATTTGCGGGCGTCATTTGCATGCAAATGGGTGGCAGATAAGGTCTAGCCTGGTGTCATCCCCGGTCTGTGCGCCGCCATCCGCTCTTTTTATCTCATCACGCCCCCGCGCTTAATGTGGTTGTTTCGCGGGAAAAGCGCCTAATGGCCCCGCCAGCCATCGATCCGCACACTCGGCCGCAGATGTGCATGGCCCGCCACGCGAATTTGCGCTTCATAATATTTCATCTGGTGCCGATATGTATATTCACGCCGGCGACCCGTGGTGTGTTTTCCGCAAGCAACCGCAGTACGGAGCTTCGATAGCAGGGATGCTGCTTTCCGCCGTGTCATTTTCGCTACATTTCGTCCGGCTCGTTAGTTTCTTGCGGCGAAATTGTTCGATGCTTATGATGCCTTCACGTCACCGCTCTGCTCGCTGATCTTACTGCACTTTTTTTTAAAGAAATTTGTGGCGTGGAAGGAAAAGACGTTTTTGTGTTTTCTCATCGTTTGTCTTCTTCTATAATACAATATTAACCTACTTTGAGAAGTAGGGAAATGAATCTAGTTTGATTTGTTTTTTATTTGATTACCATGTCATAAAATATTTTATATTCCAGCTAAAATTGAATAAAAAATATACTTCTTGATTTGATTATACCTGAATTCATTTTGAAGTTATAAAAATCGTCAATTTTAAATTAATTAGTGAGGGTTATTATTAATTGTGTTAAAAGAGTAAAGTGTCCAGAAAGATACCGCATAAAAAGTCTTGTTCCAAATTTTGATATCAATAGCAGGCCCAGTAATAAGATATAATATGCATTTTTGTTTTAATGTTCTCTATACAATATGATACATTTTTTTTGTGTGTTTTACTTGTAATTAGCGCCTTTTACAATTTCAATGTCCATGAGAGTCATACTTGGGCATTTTACGCAACACAGAGCGAAACTAAAAGCCCGCGCGTGAACTTCTAGATTTTTTATATGTGTCCGCGTGTCGGGGCAAACGCAAATAACGTGAAATCGTAATGCGGAATCCGGCTCGAGGGTGTCTGTCCACTTTGGCAGCTCGCGTGCGATTTCGCCACTCCGTGTGCATTTGTACTGAAAGAGAGTGTGCGGACGGTCCGTACGGAGGGCTGAGAGGGATTGTGCCACTCAACAGCCCCCGGGGGCAGTTTTGCCTCCATTTGCCGGCCGTTGCTGACTGACTGAGAGCACAACAATTTCACAGCGTTAGATGCTGATAGAGAGCGAAATGACAGGATTTGTATCAAATTCACTTGTGAATAGTGGGGCAGATTTCACATAAGAGAATTATTTTCACTTAAGGTTTCGTTTTCGATTTCATTGTTATCTGATTATTTTGAATAATTGCATGATAAGAGTAATGAACAGAAGCAAGGATTTGAAGTAAGTTGGTAAAAGTAATGTAATACAATACATGAGTTGATTCCATGTATTAATGTATAATTTGTTAAAAAAATTCATCTAGCACCACTTAAAAAATTCTTATTTAATTTTTGTAATACATAATATATTAAACAGATTAAATTTAAAATAGACAACTATAATTGAAATAAATTTTTAAGTTTAGAAAAACAAAATATATAGGATATATAGATCTTTAAGAAAAATAAAAAATTATATAATACAAAATTACTATCAATTTTAATGCAAGTATATTAAATTTAATTCATAGTCCTTTACCACCACCAATCTTCAATGATGTATCTTCTCCTGATAGAAAAAATTACAGCCCTAATAGATTTAAATTTTTTTGATAATTATTTTCTAAGCATTAGCATTGGTTTGCTGATACAAAATTTCCAAGGAGACATCGCAAGAAAAATTTTTATAAATATCGAGAGAGCTAAATTATTGAGAATTGACCTTGTTTCTCATGGATGTTCTTAAATAATTGTTTTCGATTTTCTCAATATTAGCCCAAATATAAAAACGATAAAAAAGTTTCCAATCCAAGATCATATCACCACAATCAAGTTAGCAAAATAAAATCAATCTATATTTAAATTGATCTTAATGAGAACGTTTGCATAAGCATTTTTCTCAGTAACTTTTTATATTTAACTGCTAAAAGGACTTCCTGATAAATTTTGTGCAAATTTTTAAATACGTTCATTGGAAAAAAATGCTTATTATTGTTGGGCCTGAGAGTGACTTTCTTGGCAGCAGCTGGCTGCTTATATTCAATTTCATTTCACCGGCTCTCTTCCCTTTGTTGTGACGGGTGGGCTCTCAAAATTAGGTCTAGATTGCGTAAGCGAATAGGCACTAATGTGCGCGAATCCCGCTGCAGCATCAGGCCGGTTGGTATCACGCGCTCGGCGGCCCTTTGACGATCGATCCGAACGTCCGTCCGGGTCCCGTCATCGCTCTGCTCTACCGCCAGGCCGATTTTTTCCTCAAAGGGGCAGAAATCAGGCGCGCTTGATTGAATTTCAAATGGCGACTCTCTTTTTCAAGACGCGCCGCCACAAAAGATGGAAAAAGCTCGAGTTTTTTGCTCGCCGGAAGCTCTGAATGGGCTAATTTATGCGCGCAGCGGATTCTCAATGTGAAATATCGCCGGCCGGGCGACACAAAGTAATTCGATTCGCCCCCAATTTGATTAAAAGCAGCCTCCCTTTTTTGATCTTGCGTTGCCGCACTACGCCCTTATTCTTTCTTTCCCTCTTTCATTTTCATTTCGTTTCTCTTTTTTTGCAAGTCGGCCGAGTGCAAAAACTCATTTTTTGCCTCGCGAGCTGCTGGAGGTGCCGCGGCTTTCAAAGAGCGGCGGAATTTTTATATCTTGAAGCAGCAGCAGCTTTTCTCTTCGCTGCTGTTTGTGCGCGTTTTTTTTATTGGCAAAAAGAGAGCGAACGGAATCGGCCCTGGCGGAAAGCCGCTCTCTGCAGGGGATGCTTTCCATTCTCGGTTATTCTTAATATTTCACGAGACTGAATCGCGCGGTGTTTTCCACCAAAGAAATGTATGCGCAGAGGCAAAAAGAGAATTGGAAACAAATAGCCGGAATACCCAAGGGACAGCTGCATCGCATCCCAGAAAAACGTGCCACGAAAAATTCTTATCCGTTCGACTTTTTAACTTTGACTCAAAATTTGATAGGGGGGAAAGTTAAAGGTTCCGTTTTTATTTGCTGGTTTTGAAATTGAAGAGTAATTTAATCAGTTTATCCATTATTAAAGAAATTTACACTATCTAAAATTATAATGTAAATAAAGCCAGGTTGAAAAATTAGAGATGGTATAAAATGCAATTTTTCTAGTTTTGAACGCGTCAAACCCAATATGTGGTTTGAATAAATTTTGGATTTGTTCTTTCTGTTTGTTTAAAAAAACTATTGAAATTTACCTAAAATAAAACTTAAGGGCAGAATCACGATCCAGGCACATTTCCTTTTTATGAGAAGTTAATTTTGTAAATTTTACCAGAGAAATTTGAGGCAAAAAAAAGTAATAAAATTTTTAAAAGCATACATTTTCAATTTAAAACCAAGTCTATATCTTAAAAATATCAGTTCATTCTATAATTTTTTTTTGAATATGGGTTTAATAGAATGACTTTCAGTAAAATTTCTTCTTCGATCTAATTTTTCAGATCGCCGTCGACGCACAAAATGTCTCCGTGGGTAAAGACCGTATTCCTGGACGCAATGCCGCGTATCCTGATGATGCGCCGGCCCCACTACTCGCCCAGGGACCACTATGAGCACGACGAGCCTTTTGCAGACAACGCGTTCCCCGGAGATTTCAGGTACGCAAGTGGCATATGTTATGCAACCTGCGCGACGCCTCCGTCGAGCGGGTTGCGGAGCGGCTCATTCGCAGGCGCTCGCCGTCTCGCAGCCGCTCCCGAACGCAAACGCATGCATTTTTAACGTCGTGGTTTTTACGGTTTCGAATAAACTTTCCATCAGTCCACAAAAATAAATTTAACTACAAAAATTTTACTACTTAAAAAGGAGGAGTTCGTATGAAAAAAGAAAAAAATAATAATAAAATAATAAATGCGCTTTGTGTGCGCTGCATAATAATTTATGAGTGAACAATCAGCGCCGATTGAAATGTTGATGGCCTTCGATTATGTAAATTCAGTGAATAGATTTCGGTCGCTTTTTTATGAATGGGTGGCCTAATGAAGGCTTTTTTTGTTATTTGATGCAGGGATGGATTGGGCGATGGGTTCCATGACGGGAAAATGAGCCCTTTGTCGTCACCCTTCGAGTCCAGCTTCAAGCATGATTTGGAAGATCATATGGAGGCTCATTCATCAGGTATGTATTTCTTATCTTTATTGTTATTAAAGTTTAAATATGGATTACAAGAAAACCTTTAACTTAAAATTCCTTGTTAATTCTTAAAAAAAAATTATTTTATTAAAGAGATTTATTTAAAAATTTTTGTGAAAAGATTGAAAACGTTTCATTTTTTTTTTAATTTGTGAAAATGTGAAAACTGAAACCAAATTTCAATTTTTGTTCTTTCTTCCAATAAAATTAAATCATAATTAAAAACTTCCCAATTTTAATTTTTTTACTAGATCACCATGAGGTGATCGCAGGTAGGCAGGCGTCGCCCGAGTTGCTGGCTGCCCTGGAAGGCGTTCAGTTCATCGCCCAGCACATGAAGGACGCCGACATTGACAACGACGTGGTCGAAGACTGGAAATTTGTCTCGATGGTGCTCGACCGCTTCTTCTTGTGGGTCTTTACCTTGGCGTGCATCATCGGGACGCTGTGCATCATCTGTCAGGCACCATCTCTCTACGACACGCGGCTGCCCATCGACCAGAAGCTTTCCGATATTCCCTTTGGAAACAATCCTTTTAAATACCCGCCTGATAATTACGTCAAACAAGAACCGACCCTTTAAGAACGAAAGGATCAATTGTTATTTTTGCCGACAAATAATCTGGTACTTGATTATTAATAATTATGATTCAAAAGGAATGATATCCTCAATTTATGGTGGCTCAACTGCTGTCAAAATATGGCACATTTTAATTAAAAAAATAAAAGAAACATTCATTACATAATACGGTGTACTTAATAAATAATTGTGTAAATAGATAAATTCAATGTTTGCAATAAACAAAAATACTTTACCATTAATTGGATGAAACAAATTACGTAACGAAAACAGATTTCTATTGTTGAAATATATATTGACGCATACAAGCACTTTAGCAAAACTCTCTCACTTAGTTTTATTTCTCTCGCACACCCTCATGCATGTATAAAAATTCACATATATAAAGAAAAGGCACTCGCTGGCATAAAAGTTCGATCAACCAAGCGCCGTGAACATTTGGAAGAGGCCTCGGGGGCACTGCGAGTAGAGGGTCCCGCAGTCGTCGCCGTCGACGCCCTGCTGCTCAGCCGCGGCGAAATCGGCACCCAGCTGCTCGTCGTTGGAGCTCGACGGCCTGCAAGCAAAGCATGACGCCATTATGAATATGCGAGAGGGGTTTGTTTTTGGCCTCACGTGAAAATGACGTGCAGCAAGTCGCCGAAGAGGCCGTTGTGTTGCAGAGGTGTCTCCGCCGCCTCGCAAATTGCACGTAACAGACACGACCGCCCGTCCAGACCGACTCTGGAAAATAAATTGGATTTGTCCTCTTGCTCTAGGGTAATTGGATTTTGTCTCTATTAAAAAAAGGGACAAGAAAAACTGAAGCGAACGTGCGATGTGACTATGGAATTTAAATTAGATTCAATTTCAAGAGAAATTTTCCACCTTTTTTACTTTAAAAAAAGTGCAAAAAATACAATTTTACGCAAAGTTTAAAATATAACTTACAATGGTTTTTTAAAGTCTCATTCCAGTAGTGGATGTTATTCAAAATCACAAAAGATATATTTTAAAAGAATATAATAAGAAACAAAAATTAATAAATAGTTATTGGTGAAATCACCAATGAAAAGTTCTCATTTGAAAATTTGCGTTCATCGATTGTTCATATTTCCCACTAAAGTTAATAATTTGTACATTGGCTTGACACTTAAATTTACAAAATTCAGAAAGCTTTCTACTCTAACTTCCAATTGAAACATTATTTCACTAAAATTAATTGTCTCTCTTTTGTGGCAAATTTTTATTTTATAATTGATTTTATTTTATTTTTGTTAGAAAAAAGGAGCCATCTTAATTTTACGAATATAAAAATTTCCTCAAACTGCGAATAAAAATTCAGATGTGAAAATTTGGGTTATTAAGAACAAGTTAAAATAAAATTTTATATTATTCACAGAAAATAGCAGTTTTTTTTTTTTTAATATTGAGCAAAATATTCTATGAGCTCTTGATTGCCTCCTCATTTACAATTCAAATGGAATGCTTGCTCTCATTCCTTATTCTAAATTAAGATAGTGTTTAGTTGGTGTTGACAATTTACTCTCTTCACACGAGCCTGCCTAGCCGGTTGCATAAGTTATGCGAACATCTCTCGCGGAACACACAAGCCAGTAAAATGAACAGCGCGTCTAATATGCATAAACTACAAACACGGCGCTCATCTAAATTATGAAAATGAGTGAGAGAGAGAAAGAGCAAGAAGAAGCAGACCTGTTGAGCATTGTGATGATGGTCGTGTAAGTCCGTCTGCGGGTGATACCGAAACTTTCGGCTAAACGACCCTGGCCCAGGCCGGGCACCAGATCAGGGAAAAAGTACGTCACGTTGTCGGGCAAGACGTAGTTGGCTTCGATGTTCATGGCCACGTTCACACTTTTGCGCACAGGTACTGACAGGGCTACTTCAATCTAAACATTGGTAAAAATATTTTATTTTTGTACTTATTACAACAAGTTTAAAAAAATTATTAACTCATTTTTTTCTTTTACATAATCTTAATTAAAATATTTACTTTGTGGAACATACAAAATTAATTTTTTTATCAATAATAAATATAGTTTAATTTTTTTATATTAAATTTTTTTATTAAAATTTGTTACAATTTAAGTAAAAAAGCTTTATTAAATTATTAAAATAAAGAGTTTTTTAAAATAATTATAGTAAGCAAATTAGACGCCTTGACTAAAAATTCACAAAGTACAACCATGCAATGATTTAATGGTGAGAGCCAATCTTCAAAAAATTTTAATTATCCTTTATTCGAATAAAAAATTGTGAAATAAGAATTGAGTAGAATTTCAGCTTGTTCAAAAAAAAAAAAAAAAAAAAATGTAAAATATATGAAATGAACGTTGATTAAGATTATAAATCGAAACTCACGCCCATATTGCTTCCCGGCGGAAAGAGCAAATATCTGGCCTTCCTGGAGATGACGGCCGGCCGCTGACCGGCGGCCAAGGCGGCGGCCAACAGCAATGTGCAGATGCGACGAGCTGCCAGCATGACTGTTTTAGCAGGAGGCCGCTAATTACTGATGCCTCGTCGCCGGCAGATGACTGAGAGACGCATCAGGCAGCACCAGGAATATGAGCCGAGTTGCGAGTTGACACTAATTGGATTAATTAGAGCTCGCGCAGATTGCGTTTCGTGCGCGGGGATAATGAACTTGAAAAAGACAACTGCGCGCGAGCTACTAATTTTGCTTGAGCTGAACAGCGAGTGAGAAACTAACTAGTCAATTTTGCTCAACACTAACTTGTAGGAGATGGTAATTCCCTTGAACACTGGTTAACTTCTCACAATCAGTTATTATAAAAAAAATTATAGTTTTATTCTTTAAACATAAATATTTTGAAAAGAGAGAAATAAAATTATAAAAACTATACAATAAAAATAAAATTATAGCAAATTTAAAAGAAACTCCTTTTTAGTGACAATTTTTGACGAGAAAAAAAAATAATAATTAATAAAATAAAACGTTTTTTGTAGTTACAATTAACTTTTGACTTGTTTATAATGAAGAATAATATTGTTGCAAGTAGTGTCTTTAGTGTTTATATCAGAAGGCAATTACTGCCTAAGTACATCATACATACACCTCAAAAATTTACAATTTAAATCAAAGTAGAGGAAAATTATCTTAATAAAGAAATCTATCATCATTATTACATCAATTGCATATTTAAAAAAGAGAAGAAAAAAGGGGGTTTTAAGGATAGTATATAGTATAAGGTCTAACTGGAAATCATCTTTTGAATGAGACTAGTGCCCCAAGCATGCATGAAATTTGATCTTAATTGAATTCTTCATCACTTTTTTAGAGGAGCATTTTATATTGACTATTACATAAATTATTATTTGTTTAAAAATTTAGTCTATAAATTTTTTCTTTTATCTTTTATTATTTTATTTTATTTTATTTATGTAAATATAAATAATTTAACATTTTATTTATTTTTATTATAATTTAATATTTTTTGTGTGTGTATATTTTTAATTTTAAATTACCACAATCGAATTTCTGCCAAAATAAATTAATATAATACAATTATTATAAAAAATATATAAATAATAGCAATTAACGGTTATAAAATTATATGCATTTTATAAAATAATAATTTTATTTAAATTTGTGACCTTTTACCTTTCTTACTCCTCTAGTTTTGAAAGTATTTCAGTTTTATTTTTTATCAATAATATTCAACATATCTAAAAGATAAATAAACGGGAACAGTTATAACTACAAATCTGAGTGCATTCCTAATTTACGTCTAATTTAGCGCTCTGTGATTATATTAATTGCAAATCCATAATTATATTTCATCCAACTTTAAATCCTTTAATCGCCACAATTCGTGCTAATAGTTGCAGGCTAAGCACGACAATGGCTTCGGTCTCATTATCCCCAGCACACAGAGCTCTCGATGTGACTCGCAGCAAATCTGGCGCGACGAGAGTTTAGCCTCTAGTTCGACCCTCCACTCGCGCAGTCTGCCGTCTCGTAATAGGCTTAATTCGCGAATTTCCCCCGAGGCTGGAAATGGAAATGCGACGGACCTTTTGCACGCCGAAAATTTACTCTCGCCTCCGCCGTGTGGCCGGATGATGCATGAAAAATTACTCTGCGGCCGACCTGCCGGCTGCTTTGCTCAGAGAGCAAACTCACATTTTTGCATAATTTGCATGTAATTAGGCGGACGCCCGAGGGCTGTAAATAAGGTTTTTGCGCTGGCTTAGACCGGAGAGCAGCCGACTTTATTTATTAGCTGCTTTTTCCCGACAAAGGCCAAAGGTTGACTAGCAAGGCAGGGCAGTTTTGTGCAACTTTATTTGAAAAATTAAATGAGCGCTGACGTCAACAGCTTTATTTAAGTCTCATTTGAATATTCAGTCTCGCGGAGAAATGTCTGGTAGCTACACACGTTCATAAGAAATAATCCCTTAAATATATTCTCACAACCCAAAAACTTTGTGTTCCCCGTTCTTTTTAATTAATATTTTGTATTATTTTATCCGTATACAATAAAAGTAAAATTTACACCTAAAATGTTGATCAATTTTTTTTAATAAAAATAAAGAATAACATCATTCGGGTTTTTGTACGTAATTTCTTTTAATTGTTGTTATGTCCACATTTAAAAAAAAAAACACAATAAACATATATTTGTTTGACAAAAATTTATTTAAAAAAAAAAAATTGTTGGAAAAAACGGCATCACCACTATCAAGCATTGTTATATTTTCGAAAATTATCTCTGCGTGTTTAATTGCTCTTTCAGGTAAAGGAAAAAAGAGGCAAAGGTATTCAGTTAGGGAAGTGAAAATTAGAAAAAATAGACATTTTATTGCCGAAGCTTGATTTTCATCAATCTCTATCAAAATCTTCACGTTATTTATTTTGCTTTAGAGAAATGAGTGTCCACGGAAACTTTACGTCAAAAATAAAACAGGATCATAATATTACAATCTTATTTTAGAAGGAAACAAAATTTATATTTTTCTGTTTTTATTTTTGTTTAAATAATTGTTTTTAGAAGTAATCAATAATTTCCGGCAGAGGGGATGACATCAGTGTGGAAACCTTTTCAAGCGGCGTGGAAGGACAACTGGCGAAGTATTGGCCGCACACACTGCCTGCTCGGCCCAAATGCTCGGCCGCCAAGTAATCCGCGTGCAGGGGACCGTTTTCTCTCGTGCTGGATGGTCTGCAACCCGCAAATCAGCTAAAGTCTGCTTCAAATAATCAATAGAATTTAATTACGTCAGGATCGTGTGCATGAGTTCGCCGACGAGGCCGTCGTGGTCCACGGGCCACGCGGCCGCCTCGCAAATGCTGCGAAGGAGACACGCCCTTCCAGGCATGCGGCCGACCCTTTCAAAAAGACCCTCTACCGCCCTATAAATGGCTGCCCTCGATGATCGCCTGTTTTTCGAGGCTATTTCATAAAGTTGCTGCCATGGCTGCGTGAAAATGGCCTGCGAGTTGTACGGCGGAAGGTCGTAGTTGGCCTCCAGGAAAAGGCCCAACGAGATGCTGTAGGCCGGGTCGTTCAACGGAATGGTCAGCACGAAGTTCAACTAATTTTCTCAACAAATAAAAAAGGACCAATGGTATTTGTGTGGTGCTCAGAAATAGATTAAAACAGATTAAAAGGTGAATAAATTATTTAAAATTTTAAAAGTTGATTAATATTTCATTTAAGTTTAGAAGTTTTTTTTAATTTGGCCAAGAATTGATTAATTATTATTACATTTAAGGCTGTGTAGAAGGCTAACAAATCTTTTGAATTGAACAAGATTTTGCCAATCCAGATTCCATTTATTGCATAAACTATGCATTTTAAGTAAAAACCGAAACAATTGTTAGTTTGACTTTTCGTGAAAAGTTATCTGCTTCCTAAAGCTCAATTTATATAAAAAAAATTACATACCATATAATTTGTGCTTTCACTTAACAAAAGTTTGGGGGGAAATTAGCAACATGCCATTATAATATTAAAAAAAGATAATTTTTTTTATAAAATATAATTAAATTTAAAACATACTCTATTTTTACTCAAAAATTGGTCAAACATGATTACTTTTTTAATATTAAACACTGCAAATTTTGAACGTTTTTGTTGAATTTAATTGAAATTTGTAGACTTTTCCTCAGCCATTATAGGTTTTTTTTTTCAATTTTTCAGATTTATCTATCTACACGTCTATTTAAGTTCAATTTTAGCGAGTTTACCAACATTGTTACCTCCACTTCCGTGCCACTTTTGTAGAGAAGTTGCCTCTTGAGTCGCTCCAAAGGGTCCGGTGACGAGACAACCAGTAATAATGCAGAAATCAATATACCTACCCTTCAAAATGTTGTGCATAATTAATTATAAATAAGGTAACTGCGGCATAAAAAAAACTTACTGCTCGGACTTGCCCATGGCTCCACTCTCACTGTCGCTGATGGTGAGAGCTTGAAAACAAGACTCGCTTGGTCTAATTATCACCTACCTATAGTGACGTGTGACGTAACGTTAAAAGGCAATGACCTGTCATAAAAAAAATCAGATCTCAATGAACAATCTGAAAAATGCCCGGTGACCTTTTTACAATGAAGTTTCTCAATTAGACCACATCTTTAATACTTAACACAAGAGATTATCCGTGTGTTTTTTTCTTATGTTGTTATATTCTGACCAGCAGAGTTTCTTTTTTTCAAGAAAAAGAAAGAATTACTATCATATTTCAGTTAGTTACATTATTATTATTTTTTATTTTATAATTAGCGATGTTTAGCATGAAAATGGATGAGCATAAAAAAATATAGAAACTTAATTAACCTATTTTACTTCACCTTCAGAAGTCAAGAAGCAGATTCAACAACAAAAATCTTAAACACAATAGACCAAGTTTGATTTTCAGTTATACTCTCTTATAGACCGCGTCTTATTTATGCAAATGTTTAAAACAGTTTAAAACATCCTCTTAATTTAAATTATATATTTTTGAAGGAACGGTAGATGAGGGCATTGGCAATGATCATAAAAATTATATAAGTTATCCTAATGCTCTGATTTATATTAGTTTTTGGCGGTGGTGAAAATTATCAAAAATGTCCAGCGGTTTCGCGCACATAACAATAAAGTTTCTCAGCCCAGGGTGGTGAACATTTGGAGCACCCCCTTGGGACAGCCCTTGCCAAATTTGAGGGTGCAATCTCTGTGCTTGGAACCCCATCGCTCAGCGCGCACGTAGGCTCGGTGCCAACTCTCGGTGCGGTTTTCGCTGCTGCTCGATGGACTGGAAAAATGAAAGCAATCGCAAAAAGAGAGAGGTCAGCGGTGATAACTCTTTTGAATGTTACAGACAAATCAGGTAAAAAAGACCACCTTAGTAGAAGATGCAGAGCCTCCCCTAATAATCCGTCATGATCAATGCGATGGGCGGCTACTTCGCACACTGCCCTTAGCAAACAGGGCCTCCCAGGCAAATGCATCCGATCGAAAAGTCCCTCTAGAGTGGAGTAAAGGGTCCATCGATCGAGTTTTAGATCACTTTTGGCACCAGCCGGATACAGAGGGTAGTTCCCTCGGAACATCAAACCGTGGAAAATTTGTTCGTCAAATGGCACGTTGATCAACATGCCGACCTAATTGTTAATTAGAGTTTTATTTTTAAAGATACAATTGCAACTTTACCCTGAATGTCGTTTTTGGCAGGAAAAGCAGGCCAAGGTTGCCTTTGACGGTGCAGTGCAGAAGGAACGTTAGGTGCAGAACGACGATGTGCAGCTGCATCATTGGCAAGAGAGGTGCTTGCAAGTACTGCACTTGCACTCGTAAACATATTGTCGAACCGACAAACATCAACAAAGGTTAATTTAATTTCCATCGGCATGTAAATAACAAAAAGAAAAAATAATCACGTCGTGCAATATGGAAGATTTGTTATTTTCTTTGTAGTTGAACAAATTATTGTTGAATATTTGTCCACATAAAAATCTGATAAAAATAAATTACACTAAGAGCTGGTTGTAATTGCGGATAGTAAGCTTTTTTTCACCTGCCTACATTCAAAGATATAGACAAAGTTTGTATTTATATTGAAAGCTGACAATCAAATTAGCATTTCCCTTAAGCAAGGAGAGGAGACACAAAAACAAAATCCTAAAAAGTAAAATCTATTTAAATGTTAAGTAAATTTAAATATTTATAAAGCTTTTTAGTTTGGTTTAGCCCAGTTTTTATGTGTCACAAATTTTACTATCATTAATTTTTTTTCTTAAATTCACAATATGATATATTATACGTTTTTTTTTTGTTTGATTTATTATTTTATTTGTCAAATTTCATTTTTAAAATGCTTTGCCAATTATTAAATTTTGTTAGGTTTTGTGTGTGTTTTTTTTTTAAATATGACTAACTCAAATATTGTAATCCAGAATACCATTAAAAATTTTCCTCTTTTAGCAGCACCTTCTCGTGTCATGTAATAAATGCTGCAAATTATTATTCAATAAAAATAATCAAATTTACACCCCCTTCGCTAAAATAAACTATATAGATCTTCCTAAATTCAAGAAGGGTTATTGTTATAATTTTATAATATAAAGCAAAATTGTACATAAATTGTATGGACATCAACATCGTTAACTTGGCACAATTTTATATTTACACACTGAAGTAAATGAAACTTAAAAATAATGACATAATTTGGACGCCTTGTTGTTTGATTACAATCAAACTAAAGGAGAATATCAAAGGATAACTTTATTGGTGCCTTTATGAGAGAAGGCAAAAAGCATCATTCTGTCGCTGCAACAGCAGCAATTTCGCGTTCTATTTATCGCGCGCTCCTCTCTTTTGTGATGAAACTGATGCGGCAGGCGCTCTCGAAGAAAGAGATCCTCTTCTGATAAAGTGGCGCAGTAAATATCCAACAACATGGAGCTGCTTTTTCTGGTGCAAAAGAGCCACTTTGTTTGATCATGCACGCGAGAAGGAGCGAGCGAGGGCTGCTGATTTATGGGCGTCAGTTTGGCTGTTTGTCAAAAGGCGATTTCCCGCAGACGCGCGAGAGCGAACGGGTGGTTTAATTTGACAAATGAAGCGGGCACCGTTACTCTCGGGAGCATCGGCCGCGATATTTCTTCTTTCTCTCCTTCCGTCCGTTGTGATCCGCAAAAGTGAGAAATATGGCTCGCGCGTTATTTACGACCCGTCGACACCTCAAGATGCTCCTGTTCGGCAGCCTCTTCATCGCGGTCGCGGCCTCGGCAGGCGCCCACCCTGACCACAACAGCCTTCTGCTCGACGGCGAGGAATTGCACATGACCAGGGATGCAAATTACCAGGTGCTGGACAGGCACAAAAGGTATCTCATGTACCCGCCGATGAGTATTTTTCAGGTACAAATTAAAGGAAATTATTATTTTATTTTATTATAAATACCTCGATTTCAGTTTACTTTTTTGTACGCACTTCCTTTTGAACTGATGAGAAATAGAAACTTGGTTGTGGTGTTGGGTGGGCAGATCGCCTTTGACCTGCCCAATAATATCACCAGACTCACGGTTCAGGATATTGCTCGACAAGACATTGCCCAGCCTTCAATATTGAAAGCTGCTGAACTGATTTTAGACCAGTAAGTGAACCAGGAGTAATTATTCAGATAAAAAGATTAAATCTTATGAAATTATGAACATATTTTTATATAATAATTATTTGAACTATCAATTGTTTGAATTATCAAACTGTTGTGAATTATTTTTAATAAAAATCTTGCTAATTAAATTATTTCTACTTCCATGTACACAGAAAAGGGATTCCTGGAAAAAAGTGCATGCTTTTAGCAATCTGTGAATTGGCCAAAACTCCCTTCGAAAGGGAAGCTGGCCTTCTTGAAGACATTCTTCACATGGTTTTAACGTAAGGAAATTAAATTATTTCAATAAAAACAAAATAATCCAATTTATTAAAATAGTCAAAAATTTATATTAATATGTAATTTAAATTAATTTTTGATCTCAATTTAGTCCAAGTGAGGGTGCTAAAGATGACGGCTGGGCGTCCAAATCGGAGATGGACGAGTACCTGGAAGCCGAGTACACAGGTCGTGACGACATCAAGCCCTGCGTGGAGGCGTACCCTGATTGCTCCTACTCCATTCTCGGCGCCTTCTCACAACTTATGTTCACCTGACGCAGTCGGCCAATAAAACGTGTTAATTTTCTAAGCAAACGCCCCGTATTTTTTTCCCAAGCCCGATCAGTAGGTGTGATCATGTGGATGCGCAAACTGCTGCTGGCACTGGCCGCTCTTTCGGCCGCCGGCGCCCAGGCGGCCAACTTTACGCTCAGCAGGCACCCTAGGTATCTTGTCTATCCTCCCAGGGGTGCTTTCAAGGTACATCACGTTTGTAAAAGTAATTTTCATTTAAAAATAACAAAATAAGTATAAATATATTTATAAATTTTAATTATTTTTAAACCTTTTTTATTCTTTTATTGTTATTTTATTATTATTTTAAATTTTTTTGTACGTAACAAAATGTTTTTTTTTATATTTGAAAAAAAATTAACAATTTAGCCCATATTTTAACACACTTTTAATTAAAATTTGTAAATATTTTTATAAACTTATTCCCAACTTATATAGAAATAAATATCAAAATATTAAATTATCATTTACTTCCTCTTTGCTATGATTCTGATCTTTGATATAATGTAGCTTGAATAAAATTTATCTTAATATAATATATAAACCAATTTGGACATACCAAAAAATACCAAAATACAGATGCATCATTTTAGTATTATCCGGTATTATCATAACTTTTTAATGATAAAATAAATATTAAATCTTTTAAATCTAAAAAAACCTTAAAGAGATGCTCACGGTTGCCAAATTTATACTTTTTCACTTTCCTCTTTTCTTTTGTTCATCTTTTCATTCATTAACTTAATTTCACTAAAGCTGGTCGCCGGATTGGCCATTCCATGGATGACACCCCCGGGCAAATACCTCGCTTGGACCATCAACTTCCAATTCCAGTACGCGTTGCCAATAGCATTTGAACAACTTCAATTGCCCAGGGTTCGACGCTCCCTCAGGGCAGTCGACCGACCCGCCCTTTACTCAACCATGGAGGAGTACCTGGAAGGTCGGGGTCTACCTGGACGAACCTGTCTGCAGCGAATGGTGTGCGAGGCGGCCAAGCACCCCGTTGATCACGATGGAGTGATCGGAAAAATCTTTCAAATTGCTTTGACGTAATAAAAATTTAATTAATTTAATTTTATAAATTTCATATTTTCATAATTTAGACCCAGTCGTGGCAATTTGGAGGAAAAAGTGCATTCAAAATACCACGAAGCGGAGGCCAGAGGTCGAAGAGGTGACGATTGTCGGACATTATTTGGCTCTGAGTGCCCCATGGACATTTTGGGCTTGGTTTCAGAAGTTCACGACGAGCTTTGAATTGAATGAAATTATTCTGAAGATGGAAAAGACTGTTACAAGTGTATATTTTTGAGCTGCTTCAAAAAGTTGAGCTGAGATTTATGTATAATTAATTAAAAATAAAACATTTCCTGCCAATTAAAAAAAAATATAATAAGGTTTTTATTGTTGAATATCCCCATTCAGAAGATCTAGAAAACCACTGAATTAGAGAGAAAAGTTGATATTAAAATTTGGATATTTTTTCCTACATAATTATACATATAGAATATAATTTCTTATTCATTTTTTTTATCTCTCTGTACACGCTTCACAACAATTAGAGCAAATTTTGATTGTTGCTGAGCGTTCCGATTAGGTTTTAAAAATCAGTAGGCTGAAGCAAAAATCTAATCGTCTCGTGTTTCATTGTTGTGATGCGCGAACCTCGTGGCCTTATCAGTAAAATTCATAATAAATAAGGATAATTTTTTTTGATAAAATTTAATTCCACGTGGATTTCACGTTTGGATGTGGCCACCGTGTTATTGACTCTTTCCTTTCGCCACGTAATTTTGTTTGTCCAGCGTAAACGGGTGCGAAAATTAACACTTGCGCACATGCTTGTGGGTGACTGACTGATCTTCAAACACAGTGAAATGGACAAATATTGTCCGTTTCTGCGTCACACACCGCAAGAGTAAAATGCTACAAATTTCTCGCCACCGAACAAGCAGGAGTCGTTCACCTGCCATGTACCGCGCGTGCCTCCTGCTGCTCCTGATTGCCGCCGGCAATTCCCATTCGGAAACTTTCCTTAACTCGACGGCTCCGTCCAGAGCAAAGAGATTCGCCATTTTCCCTAAAAACGCCAGAAATGGAGTAAGACATTTTTATTAGTATTTTTTCTTTGGTAACTAATTTTTCTGACAGATTCGTGTCAATTTCAAACACAACCGTGTAACGCCGATCACCACAATCTTGGCCTACTCGGACGGAATGCGACTCCAGTGGGATCTTCCGACCAAAGTTTCTGATTATCGCAAGGGCAGAGCCATCCAGCGAAGGGACTTACTGGAGGTCATTGACCTTGTGATGTCAGGGTACGTCTCTTTATTTTTCTTAATTATTAAATTAATTAATAAAGTCATGATGAAATACAGCAAAAAACTATACATAAATTATAAGTCTGTAAAGTTCCAAAATTTAAACTTTTCAGGCACGGTCTTGACGGAGGTGCTTGCGTGATGAGGGCGCTCTGCGAAGCTGCAACTTTGCCTTTTCCAGCCGCTGGCCTTATAAGCAAAATTTTACACAGAATTTTCTCGTGAGTTTTTGCACTACTAAATATTCAGAAGTAAATAAAAAAAATCTGCTCATTTTAGAGTACCTGATGATGAAATTCCCCATCTTGGGACGTATGCCGAAAATTACAACTCAAGCTGTGCGCGCCAATTTGCTCCAAAATGCCCATTTTCGTTGTTTTCCCACAGAATGTCAAAATAAAAAAATGTACATGATTATTATAAAAAATCCAATTTTTTCTGTTTTGAAATCTTTTCCCAAATAATATTTTGCTCAAAAATTTTATGAAATTTCAACCAGAATCAAATTTTATGCTGATCGTAACGTTTGTGTACTTTTGCTAATTAAAATCCAACATGATGGAACGATTAATTATACTGTGAGAGAAAACAATGGCCGTCAGAATGCTGGTCGGCCGAGCTCTTGAGGTGCAAATGTTTGCCGTGTACGCGAGCGAGGTGTCACTCACCCGGCCGCTAATTACTGCTCTCACCAGCAGTCGGGCCCTCGCCACGCGATCATTCATTGATGTGGGTGCTCTTGTTCCAAAGCCACAAATTCTCAAACCATGCTAACTTTGGTGTTTCCACAGGAAGCTGCGACCGATATGGTGCTGGGCCGTGGCCCTGGGTTTGTTCGTGGGCACCGTCAGGGCCGAGAGACCGGCGGAGAAAACGCTGTCACGGAAAAAGCGATATCTTACTTTTCCAGAGGGCAGCGGACTCAGCGTGAGTAAATTCAGATATCACAAATAATTGAAATTTGACTATGTTTACATAATAAAATTATACAGATTTTGTATAATAACACTAATTTAATATAGGAAAAAAATTGTTTTGTTCATTTTTATTTAATTTTATAATTTTTTTACATATAATAATTTTATATTACGTATAACGTATAAAACAACTTTTATCATAACAAAATGTATTTTTGAATTATTTGAAATTTTAATTATTATTAAAAATTTTTATTTATAAATCAATTATGTATGGATTAAGTAGACAAAATTACTCAAATAAAATAAAACCCTCGAAAGAATTCTGTCCATTGATTGAGTAGTGGAATGCATGGAATATAATCTGAAGATTTAAAAATGTTAATTAATGTAGATTTGAGGAAATAATTTTTTTAATCGGTTTTTTCTCTTTTAGTTGGTTTATTGTTTAACGTGGGGCGCATATATCACGGACCTTTTCACATGGGGAGCCACCGTTGGGTTGGGCTTCCCATTGCCGACAGACACCAAGTTCTTCCTCAGCAAATTTGACTCAGACCAGCTGCACCGAAGGGATCGACGCCAAGTCTTTACAAAAATTAAAATTTTGCTGGATGAGCATGGCAGGAATGGTCGGTCATGCGTCCTGAAAGCGTTGTGCGAAGCGGACAGCGAACTCCCGCAAGGCTCGTTTCTCGATGCCCTTTTTCGCGCCGTTTTTTCGTAAGAGATGAAAAGTTTTTATTTTGAAATTTTAATTCCCAGTTTAGTTTCCCTAGATCAAAAAAAGAGGACTTGGAGGATTGGGACCACGCACATAAAAAAAGCCACCGGAACGTCACTTCTTGCAGTGAAGCTTACCCAGAATGCGACATTTCCTTTTTCAACAGAGACTTCGGAACCTGACGAAATAAAACTTTTGAACGAACTTTTCCCCTTTGACATTTTAAATATGTACAATGTACACCTAATTTTAAGTTCCACTATCTTTAACAATGTATATATAACTAGTGTGAAATAAATTAATTTAATGATTGTTTTCAAATTGACGCTCCATTCTTATTTTATAATTAAAAGTTCCTGTTTTTTATTTCATTAAAAAATTTCGTAATTGAATGCCAGACACAAAATAGACGCAATAGGGCTCATTTGAACAATAAATTATCACATGAAAGTGCTAACAAAAATTCAAACAAACAAATAATCGGCCAAGGACCTCTTTCTCTCTCTCTCGCACATCTCATTTGGCCACGATGCGTCTGAAAGTGCTGACTGCTTTGGCTCTTGTGTGGTGTTTGGGAAGCGCTTCAAGCAGCAGCAGCCGCAAAAAACGCTACCTCATTTTTCCCACGAATAGCGTTTTGACCGTAAAATTTTCTCCGCAACAAAAGCCATTTAATTAAAAAAGAAACTCGTAAAATTTTACAGCTTTCCGGGTGTCTTGCCAAGGGAGGCATCATCCTGCAGCCGCCCGCTTTCGTATTCACCTTCGATTTCGATTTGCTCTTCCAACTGCCGAACACGACCAGAGTCTGGACCGGGCTCGGCCCATACAAAACGCTTCGCAAGGAGAAGAGGGATCTCTACAACGGACTGGAGGACATTTTGGAAAGGTACGGATTTCTTTTTCTATGAATATATGAGAGAGGGAAATAAACGGGGAAATAAATATGCAGACAGGGTTTCAACGGAAGGGCGTGTGTTTTGAGGACGATTTGCGAGGCGCGGCAAATCCTCGGCGAAGGCGGCACTCTGATGGAGGATATTTTGCACGCACTTTTTTCGTAAGGGATTCATGTCGAGTGTCGTCTCTCGCAATATTTGCAATTTATTCGAATTGAAGGTTGGAACCGAAGGACGACGACGGTTCGAACGAGGTGGACTCGGAGTTGAAAGAGCACGACGACGCACACACACTTGGCGTTTCCAGATACGCGTGTCACCAACTTTACTCCGAATGCCCTATTTCGCTACTGCATTATGCACTTTGGTAATACTGAAATAATTAATTGAAATACTATTTTTATATAAAATTAAAATAAAAGCTTACAATCTGAAGCCCCTTGTTTTTTTACCTTGCATAATTTTTATCGATCTAATTTTTGTACTAGTTTAGATAAGTTAAAAATTAAAAGGAAACCTTTAAAAAATTTATATTAATTTTCCATCATTAAGTGTGGATACAAATATTTTTTTATATTTTCCATTTCACTAAATTTTAAATGGACATGATAATAAATTCAACGAAAAATGATGAAAATCGTAGGTTAATTTTACATCATAATGTGCTTCTCCTGCCATTTTTCATAATATTGAACAAGAATTTAGACTTTAAGAGCAATTATGAAGATATCCAGAGCTCTCAAGTCATTATCGTTAAGAGCAGCAAAATGCAATTCAGCCCCTAATGGTCCCTGCAACCGCGTCCGTCCGACCCCACTTCGGAAGCTTTCCTTCCACCTCCGATAAGCGGCCTTGCTCGTGCTAATTACGCTGAATTATCGCAGCAAAGGTGAACAGCCTTTCCGCGCTGTCGTCAATTATCCGTCCATACGCTTGCCGGTGACGAGTTGCTCTGCACCATGTTGAGATTGTTTCTGCTCTTGGCGCTTTTGCCACTCACTATTGCTTCAGAAGAGGGTCGAATTCTCTCCAGGAAACGGAGGTACCTCACTTTTCCGGAAGGAAGTGCTATGACCGTGAGTTAAAACTGTTGTTATATGAAGAATTTAAAATAGAAGATCTTTATTTTTGTATATTTTTAATATGAGAATTTTTTAAATTTTAAAACGTAAATGTCGTAAATTCTGGTTTAAAAAAATTGTTCTACAATTAATTTATTTTTTTAATTGGCATTCTAAATTTTTTCCTGTTTTTCATGCTTCAAAATTATTTTTGTTTCAAGCAAAAATTTAATGTAGATTTTATTCAGTTTCTGGTGTGTTGCAACTCCGTGGGTCCTTTCGCCGCCGACCTTTATACATTTGGTCTCGACTTAGACATGTCCTGGGACCTTCCGAACACCACACGCGGAATCAAACCAATTTATCCCCTTTTACAAGAACAGCGAAGGGAAAGAAGGGACGTTTACTCCAGGCTGGAGAGCCTCTTTGAAGCGTATAAGTCTCTTACTTATACAAAATTTGCTAATTAAAATCTTTTTAATTTAGGGCAGGTCTCAATGGTAGGACTTGTGTTCTTCGCGCCATGTGCGAAGTCAGCAGAAGATTGGGACCAATCGGCGAAACAGGTGGACTTATCGAGGAACTTCTAAAGCTCGTCTTTACGTAAATGGAAATTTTAAATAAGAAATAACGAATAATTAAAAGAAAAAATATAGATTGCCGCAAGTGGAGGGAGATGAAGATGACCCGCGGCATGGTCACTACGTGGTTGCTAATAAACTCGGCATTGGCAGCCAACATGAATGCACAAGAATATTTCCTGGGTGCCCCATCAGTTTGATTGACTTGGTTCTTGGTCCAGAATTGTGATATTAAAAAAAATGCATTAAATAAATTTGTAAATATAAATTGAAGATAAATGCATAAACAGCAGACTTATCATAACCATCTATTCTACAATATTTTGTCGACATTGAACTATGAAAAACTTTATTATTTCAATTATTAAAATATATTAAATTTGATTTTATTTGATCTGTTATTTTAAAACAAAATTTATAAAAAGAAAATATATTATTTCATTATTGCTTTTAATACAATTATTTAAAATTTATAATAAAAATATCATTATAATTAATAAATAGATAAATTGAGAAACATAAATTTTAAATATTATTATAAAATAAACAAAATTATTAAAATTCTTCTTTATTTTATTTAGAAATTAGTAGCTTAATTACAATGTAGTGATATTCCTCCAGTTTTTTAATAGAAAACAAGTTCCTAGTTTTATTGTGAAGTAACAACTACCGTAAGTGGAACAGTGCACGGGTGGAATTCCTGATCCGAGATTTGCCGGTGTGAATTTCCTCCCAGCAGCTCAAGTTCTTCTGCCCTGGCAGCTCTTAAATAAAACCAAGCAATTTTCTCTGCGCTCGGAGCAAACAAAGAACGGATCAGCTCAAGTGTCGCGCGCGCGCGGGCGGGTGGTGGTGGTTGCACCACAGCAAGTTATTCTCGAAGCAAAGTGGGAAACAAAGACGTGTCGCAACAATAATAATTGTGGCCTGCATTTTGAGCTCTGGCGACGGGAAGAAAGAGACGTCGTGATCCGTCCTCGGTCTTCTCCCGAGGCGTGTAAGTGGCGCCATTGAACGAATCCTCCGTCCGTTATCTTAAGGAGGTGTGGTTATGCAACTGGCACGTCTTGCTGACACAACAAAAAGCCTAATTTATCAAGTCAAGGGGTTCGCAGGCAGCGCGCGATACACATGATTACGCCACGGCTGCCATGGCAGAGGGCGACGAATCAGCAGCTGCTCGCCGGCAAAAAGTGGAAGCCAAAGCAAACGACGACGGCCTGGAAAATTCATTCGCGCGCCCCTCTAATGATGATGAACATTTAATGACGCGCGAGACTGAGATGAAATTTTTATTGCAGACACCAGTGCCACCCCATTTGATGATTTTCACTTTGATAAAAAAGAAATGGGCTGGGCAAAATCTCTAAACTGAATAGAATGGAGTAATTTAGTTTTTAAAAAAATTGCTAATTTTAATAAGTTCTAATTTGAGTGGTAAAAAATGTCTGTAACAAAAAAAGGTTAATTATTAGTATTATTACGTTCAAATTTTGGTTGATCAACTTCAAGATTAAGTAAATAAAATTAAGAATAATTTATTTTTTGACTGATTTTCAGAAAATTGAAGAACAACGAACTTCAAACAAAATTGTAGGATATCAACATAAATCATTAGCTTCATATTTTTAATTTTTGTAATAAAATTTAAATAACTTTTGAATATTTTCTAAGAACTAAAGAATGCTCTTTGAAATAATGCAATTAGTTTTTTTTACATAACTTGTTTTCACTTTATTAATTTTTGTATAATGATCATGTCATATAAATTATCAATATTACGTCTTGTTAGTTTATTTGTTGCACGTTGTTCTTTCTTCTTCTTCCGGCTTCAATTTCTCCACTTAATTTTCATTTTTTAAATATAACAGAGTTGTCCTTCTTACAGAATGCTTCAACAATAAATTGCAAAACTGTCGATTCTTGATAACAACTGTCGTATCGGCAAATATACCATGAGACGTAGGAGTGAGTTTTTTTCTTCCTTTTATATATATTTTTTTTTCTCAATTTTCTCTTCGTGTGTGTATGTGACGAGTGTGTGTGTTTTAATGTATTTTTTGTGTGATCAGGGGGTCAAGTGTGTGAAGCAACAGAGAGAGAATTTCTTTTCATCTTTTTTTATCAGAGATCGACGGGGGCGGCGGGAGCCTCCTTCAGGCACCCCCAACACATCCGAAGCAAAAACCGCTTACTTTAAATGCACGACATTTAGAGTTGACTTTAATGACGACGATTATACACAGCGAGACAGTTAGTATGCAAATTTAGTGGCGAGCGGCCCGGGCGGCCGGGGCCCGGGGGCCCAGCACATCATGGGTTTGAGCAGGGCCCGCGGCGGGCGGGGCCGCCACCTCTTGTTAGCTGCTCGGTTAATTAATTAAAATACAACAACAACGATTTATTTTAGCAACATAGGCTGAGGGAGGGTCGGCGGAGCCAAATTTTAGTAATTTCCCATTGATTAGTATTACAGTAAGGAGGAAACAGGGATGAAACAACACAGAGGCACGAATATATAATTTATTTTTTCTACTTTTTATATACCAAGGTCTGCACATCGTCCCCTGCAAAACAACATGGCCGCCTGTTGTACAAAATCCCTGATTGGGTACAGATCAGACGACCCTCCCAACCCATAACCAAATTTAAGCTGATTAGCAGAGCTTGGTTTTCATATTTTATTTAAGTAACACATCTTAATTTTTGTTAATTTGCGCCATTTTGTTCGATCAAATATTTCAATATATACTTTAAAAGTTTTAAACTTATCAAATGCTCCACATTTTTAAAACTGGAAGACATTGAACATTTTCTTTTTACTTTAAATTTGCGAATTTAATTAAGTGTTATATTTTGGCTCCGCCACCATTCTCTGGCCGAGTGATTGGTTTTCCTTTTTTTAATTACTTTAGTCACACGTATATCGCGCGCGTTACATTATTTTACCTTAGGTGTGTGTTTGTTTATGCAAATCCGTTTAGCTCGAAACGAAAATATCTCATGAGATGAGCTAGCTAAAAATAAATTTATGATCTCTTCTTATTTGTCGCGACGATGATTGAGGTGCCGTTCTGAGTGGGCCTGGGCTTCAAATTTTCTCCGGATATTTGTATATATTTCAAATTGTCAATTATATTATAATTATATAGAGGCGTGTGTGTCAATAAAAATTATCATTGTGTTGCTCTTGTAGTTTTAATCTGACAGTTAGGAACGTTTTTCACCGTTGATTATGCATGTGGTATAATCGCCAAACTCAAACTAACGCCAATCGCACCACCCGGCGGGTTGAATGAAAAGCAAGAATCGTATATATTTAATTATTTTTCTCTCAGTCGTTACGAGAAGAAATTTGTGGGGGAAAATGTGGGCCCAGGCCCTCGAGAGCCCGTGGTGAGTCGTAAAACTAAGGAAAGACTGGTGAATGCACTACTTGAGCGTCCGCACTGATTGATTGTAAGCTCACAGGGTCACTCCTCCTCAGGGCCCATCATCATCAGCAGCAGCTTCTTCTTGGCGATCTTGGAGAACTGGATGTCGATGGGGCGAGTCGTGTCGTACAGGGAGGGCGCCTGCAGAATGATAAGCGCCGTGCCCATCACGCACGCCACCGAAAAAATCCACAGGAACAGCCGGTCCAGCACCATCGCCACATATTTCCAGTCCTCCTCCACCTGAAGCAAATTGCAAAGCAAACCAATTTTTATCCGTTCAATACATTAGGGATTTTTTAATTCTATAATTTGGTGTTCAAAAATTGTAGATAAATTTTTTTTAATAAAAAAAGATTGCTTCGGAAAGTACCTTTTTATTACAATGCGCTGTTTTTGGAAATTTTTAAAAGAAATAAATTATTTAATAACTATTATTATTAATTAAAATGTAGATTACAGCGAATTTAATTCATCTACTCAAAACTAGATAAAGGCACATCGAGTCAAAATTATAAAACCAAAAATATCGTCGTTCCCTTCCAAAGCTCAATTTTATTACTAATCTTTATTTTACTCTGTGTTTATTTATTAAAGTAAATTCCAATCAGGGTTTACAATACAACTCAAAAAGGTACACAATACGAAAATGTTAATCACTAAAATTTGTAAAATTAATTATTTTCTCTTTTGATAAATTTAATAATCCAGAAGGAGTTGAAAATCTTCCAAACACACAAAAATGCTTTCAAGCGCTTTCTTATTTTTAGCAGCCAAAATAATAATATTTTTCCAAGCGTGAAATCGTTCCTCAGTTTTGTGCTTACTTTGCGTTTGACAGACAACATTTCCCCAAGTTTATACCGTTCGGCTCGAGCCGGATAAAAATCTCTCTGTTTGCGTTCGGTGCCTAAAAAGTCGTAAGAAAGGCTTCGGGCAATTTAAAACTTCCAAGAAACTCTCTATAGATGCAGGTATAAAACAAACATTGCGTTTCGCAAAGCCGGATCAATCCACCAAAAGTTGGAAACTGCTCGCATTTTCCTTCCACCCTGCGCGATCATGACGACGCGAGACGGAAAAACGAGATGCAGTCAAGTGGAAAATTCGCAGCATAAATAAAGAGGCTGAACATCAACCCATATCCGGGCGAGTCGTTCAAGGAAGCAGCTGCAGTCTAGGTCAAATTTAGACGCAGCAGAGATGTGTATATTTTAATAAAGGCCAAAAGCAAAATCGATACAATTCTTTTTTCGTTGTAGAGCCGTTGATTGGATGAAGAAAGGAGACGCTTGCCAAGTTTTGTGTCAATATTTCCGCTACTCTAAACCAATTAATCAGAGGGCACACGTTAACAAACATTGACCCAGCAGCGCGGTCTTGAGTGACGCTTCAGAAATAAAAGTCATCTTGACTCCACGTCAAATCTTGGTCGATCGAGATGAAAAAGGGCGGGGAAAAGTTATTGCAAAACGCGTGACATTCGAGGGCGCCGTATCTCTTTTGAATCGAAAAGTTTTGTGTGTCAATAGAGTGTGATGGCGGGCGGGGAATTGATATAGAGAGAGTTGTTTGAAGTTCAAATCAATGAACTCCGATCATTATTTCTATTCAAAGCCGGTTGTTTATTGTGGAGTTCTGTCGTTTGCTCTGTATAGCGATTTCATTCCATTCACGGCAAAATATAATTATAATTATTCCAGGAAATCTTGAATTTATAAATGAATAATGCAAGTTTTTAACTTAATTATTTGTGTAATATATTTAAGTATAAAATAAGTCATATCAAGAAAGCATGAAAATTTAAAAGAATCAATGAAAACTTATCTAGCCTTGATTTTTTTACCAGTTTCTACAAAACTGTTTTCTCTCAATCTTCGTTTTTATTTTACTGTTCAACAAATTTAGATTTAATTATTTTTGTTAAACAATCGTCTGACGGTAATACAATTTTTCAATTTTCCTTCTCTGTGGAAAGTAAAAGCAAATAATTGCCCACATGAAGACTGGTGGAAAAACATTTTGCTCTCGGAGATCCTTTTTAAATTTTTTTTTTTACAAATAATATCTTTTTGATTGGGCTATTTTCAAACTTTTGTGTTAACTTTTTCACTTTAAAAATGACTTCAAAAGTGAATTAATCATTTAAAATTTCCGCCTTTTTAGTAAAATATGACTTTTTTTAAAGACCAGTCTAGCAATCACTAGATTTTAACCATGAGTTTTCAAATGCATTGCAATTGAAGCGTGTTTATAATTAATTTTTAACTCAATTTCTAAATCATTCAGAAACCATTTCATTCTCATTTAATTTTTCTCCTAACAAGACATAACAATCTTCTGAAGAGCCTTCAATTCGTCTTCACTGTATTCAATTTTAACAAATGATCAGCATTTCTACAATGATTAGTGGCTAAGAATTAACAGGAAAAGTTCACTCTCGACTTTTAATGACAAGAAGGAGTCAAGATGAAAAACCCGTCCAAGTCGACAACTTCTGCTTGAGGAATCAAACTCGTTCTTAATGCGCACAAACTAATTGCAACGAGTTGTGCAAAAAGAAGCGTGCGGCACCGGATTGCACTTTGCGAGTTCTTTCAAAAGTATAAGTCGCCCTCTTGTCCCGCCTTTAGAAACAATTAGAGCGTATAATGATCGCGAAGCCCGAGTTTCAAAGAGAGTCAATTACTTTGCACAGAGCGAACGAAATAAGCAAACAAACACGAAGAAGAGTAAACAGCCACAGAGATGAGAATTCAAGCGGACGATTTCATCCGGAGCTGAATTAATTGGCCACTGCATTCGTCACCAGATACTAAACAGATAGGCCGCTGCGAAATCCACTGACGAGGCAGCCCCGAGGCGGTTATGCAACCGGCGTGTCGCGGTTGCGCAGCAAAAAGCGCCCATCCATCCCTCAAACGACCAACCCTGCGCTGGCACACTTTTGCATTTCGCTCTCTCTCGCAGCCACCGCTGAAATAATATGTAACGTGTACTTTGCTCGGCGCGTTAATTGCACCGTTGACTCGCTCGTTTCGGTTGTTGTGTGCCTATTTTTCGCCCTCGCTGACGGAATGGGCGCTGGAAATTGCTCGAAATTCATTTGCCAGAGTGGCGCTGCGGTTTTGTCCCCGGTCGTATATTTCAGAAGGTCAAAAGTCGATGCTCCCAGCAGCTGACAATATAAAAGTGATGATTTATTTCAATCGGCAAAACATTTTTGGCTGCTTTCGTATTATATATCTTTGGCCAAGAAATCGTGCCCCACTGAATAGAATGACAATTTAATCCAGCTCAAAGTGATGCTGCACTGAGTTAAATGGATAAGTTAAATAAAAAAATTATCGTATCGTTTATTTCTCCAAATTTTTAAACGGAAGTTTTACATCAAAAGAAAACCATTTAGGAGGGAAATAACGCTAAATGCTAAGTATAACCATCACTAGCAACGATTTTCAGGATTCCTCATTGACAAGTCAAATAAAATCCATTTGAATAGGAGAAACCAATTTGTGCAATAAATTTTAGCTCTCACTGCTTTACATACTTGAATTACCAATATCAATTAAGAGCTATTAAGATTTAAAAAAAAAATAAAAATAGTAATTAAGGTATTATAAAAAAATGTTACTTTTTAATATGTTAGAACAAAGAAAATTTCAACAATTCAATCAATATTTTTCTAATTAAAAACTAGGCTTTTCAACTTTTTTTGTTGGTGTTTTCTTTTCTTTATTATTGAGACATATATTTTTTTTAAATATCACCAATCTCTTTGTAATTATTACCGTTAAATTCACCGATCGTCTAAACACATTTCCATTCTAGAATTTCATCTAATAGAAGTCTTATGAACTTCTAAATTTATTGTCTTTCATTATATTGTTTTAATCACGTCAAGGACTATAAAATACACTCATTGTTGTATAACTAAATAATTTAAAAAATATATTTTACAGAAATAATTTAAACCGTATAAATTATTATAAATTTTAAAAATAAAAGAAATAAATAAATATAAATGTTATCCCGGCTACAAAAATATTAAATATAGGTAAGTATTTTGTGTCAAGTTATAGTATCTACTATTCAATTGTTATTTAATTTAGTGAACTTCATTGTTTCATAAATTTAATAATAATTCGTTAATTTTTAAAAAGTGAGTAAATCACTAAATTTGAAATTACTACACTGAAATTGAAAGAAAACTCATCGAGTTTGTGCGCTCGGCAGTGATACTGTTCTCGCGTTGATACGGAAACCCCTGTGCAGCAGCTTTTCTCTGCTCATCTGCAGATAGCTTGCAGGCAGCAGCACCCAATTTGCGCTCGTCTTCCCTGGGACGAGAAAGCGAGCGAGCGAGCGATAATTGAAACGCGATAGTTGGTTCGGCAGGGTGTCTGTTTGCCTCGGCAAACAGCGCCGACGAAGAGCAAAGCAGGCAAATGCGGCGTGGGTACTTGGAGACTTCCGGCGGCGGTCGAGTGACAGCTCACCATTTGCTATGGGCATGCCCGAGTGAGGCTTTGCAGAATAAATAGAGCGACAGATAAAATGGACACACTATCCTCAGGGGTTCCAGTGATTTTTCACCATTACCCGCCGCTTGCCTGGCCCCCGGCTGCCTCCGCTGCACAACGGGAAAAATTGATGTCGACGAGGACACGATTTTTCAACGCCCTCCTGCTGGCATGTGACTCGCCAGATCCGATGGCGCCACGCATTTGTCTCCTTTGGACTTCTTCCGGCCAACGTGTTTGTTTTGCGAATATTCAATGAAGAAGGGAGGCTGCGGCAGCCAAGAAAGAGAGAAATGGCCTGCTTTTGTTTCTGTCCGCCTTATTGCTTTTAGCGTAATTCGATTCCAACTTTTACATTCATCATTTTTCTTGTGCCTCTCTGAGAGAAATGGAAAAAGCTGTGCAATTTTTTTTTTGCAGAGATACTGAGAAATTTGGGATTTCACAAGTTCTTGTTAGTGATTTTGAAAAATATGAATCAACAGATCCCGAATCTTAATCAAACACTATTAATAAGAGCGCGGTTACTAAAACGATTGAAATAACAAAACACATTTTCATATGTATATCGTTCAATAATGCTGATTTATAAAATAATTGTTTGAATCGGTTTTTAATAAAAATGATGCCCGCTTTAGAGAGAACGAGACATTAAAAAAAATGAGCATATTATTTTTTTGGAATCTAATATTTTTAAATAAACGTAGGATGAAAGCTATACATGAGATTTCTGCTTCCAGGGAAGTAATTTTTTTTCAATATAAAAAGGTTGTTTCAAGTGACGTACAGCGCGCAGGTAACTTCAATTTAATTATGAAATCTGTCTTTTTTTTAGACATTTAAAGAGATTATAATATTTTAAAAACCAGCACATTTTTTCCGTAAGCAGCAATTTTGTGTTAAATGACCAAAAAAAATTGAAAATGAATTCATTATGATCAAATAATATTGAAAGTTTTGCATTCATGTCAATAATTTCCCGTTTACAGAGATGCAGCTCAATAGCTTTAATTTAGAAACACTTTTGCTGAAATCGGGCCTATGAGCTTTAGTAAGAAGTTGTTTACCAGAGCTGGCTGCCAATTTTCTTCCAGTGTGACTTATTCATTTATTGTATACTTTTTTCAAGAAAATAAATCAATTAAAACCCAAAAATTATTTAACATTTTTTTATGTCACCAATTAAAAACGTGATATTTTAGTTTTTCTTTAAATTATTGACTCTTTCCCCTCAGTGGTCATGATTACTACAAGAATTTAGTTTTTCTGTCTCTCCGATAAAATTTGGTACCTTTATCAACAAAGTAGTTTTTTTTTGTGTTTCAGCGACGAAAGAGGCAGGTGCGATGAAATTGGCTAGAGCAAAAAGTAATCGTTTGCGTCTATTAAATTAGGTACTCACGTTTTCGAACTTGTCTTTGTTCTTGACGTGTTGAGCAATGAAGCGGGCGTCCGTGATGGCCTTCTCGATCTCCTGCGCGAGGCAGCGGTCGATCGAGGGGCTGAGGTCGTCCCGACAGACGTCGTCCTCGTTGGGCGACGCCGGCAGCATGAGGGGCGACGGCAACGGGGGCAGCCCCGCGGCGTCGAACGGCACCCCCTCGTACCGCAGACCCCCCGCGATGTCGTACTCGGCAGGACTGTAGCGCTGCTTCTGGAACTCGTACTTGGAGTCGTCCAGGCAGGTGTTCTCCGAGGCGGGCGTCGACGCCGTCACCACGGCATCCGCCTCATCTTCGTTCTGCGGACGCTCGATGAACAGCACCTGTCAGACACAGAAACACGCACAAATTTGTTTACTACACGCACTGTTTTGATGACAAAATATTCAGGTTTGTTTACAATATTTTATTTTATCATATACGCTTTATTTAAAAAATTAAAAAAAAAATCCAATTTTAATTTTGCATACTTTTCATGCATATGTTAATTATATTTTAAAAATATTTTGAAAAAGTTATAAATGGAATTTGAACATTTATTTCTTGTAATGTGTAATTGTCCTTAAAAAATACTTAAACCCTCATCTTTAGTGAAAAATAAATATACATAAAAAATTTGAATTTCTTATTTTTGTAATAAACTTTATTTATAGTCTTTTTCCAGATTCACTGCTACCGGATATCTTTGGTTTTAGCCTCATTTTCCAGCAATTCTATGCTTTCCCTCTCAAAACATTTGCTTGTCTTTTAATTCAAAAGGCACTTAACCAATTTTAACAGTCGAACATAAAAAATTTTAATAATATTAACGCCTTTTTAAGGATTTCAATGCCTAAATAATAATTTTTACTAAGGATTTTTTAAAGTAATATTTTCTCAGGAATCATCAGCAATTAAGAAAAATTGTCAAAATCGTAATAAAGAAAACAAAATCCACATAGATTGTTTAAAAATTCAAATTCCTTGATATTCTTTTAAAGTTAAATACCATTTTTTCAGCAATGGACTATATAATATGATCATTAAAATGTTATTATCCGGTGGATAAGGCTTCTTGAGGCTAACAAAATAATTTAAATGGAAAAATTTTCTTGGTATAAAGAAAAAAAATACGTACAGAATTTACAGAAGGTAAGAAAAATACCAAATTCAAAATATTTCAATTTTAGAAATTTTTAGTCAATTATGACCATTTTTACTAAGACAGCAAGATTGCGTCAATTTCTTAATCTCATCATTCATACAAATTTTTATTAGCATAATGAAACTCACAAAAAAAGTATATTATAGTTGTCTCCATTATTTTTCATTTTAATCTTCATTTTTATCCTGCTTTTAAAAACACCTGTGCTGTCTATACGGGGGTGGTAATGGCATCGGCAAACAAACAAGGGAGGAAACGACACCGGCCCCCCGGGGAGAAAGCGCGGCTTAATCTGCGAGATTAGTGGCCCTGCTTGTTGCCAAAGAGAATATACCTGTCCTCTTCTCCCTGACAGACTGCCGTGTTGGTGGCGAGACGAGTCAACTGGCCTTTATGCTGAACCCGTGTCTCGCTCCCGCAGGACCCCAACTTTCCCAATTACTTTGCATGCCGACCAGACGTGTAATGCAAAAACTAGCCCAAAGTCTCCACGGGACACACCAAGTAATTTCCGTCTGGCTAATGAAGCGCCCTGACTCGCTTGAAAGTAAAAGGGGCTTCTTCAGCTAAAGGCCTTGTTCTTTGCTCTCTATACTACTGATTAAAACCGCAGTATGCAATGTGCGCAAAAAAGTAATGAAAGTTTTAATTAAACAGTTTTATTTTACAGCATGATTAAAATCTGAAATGGTTCAAATTAATCTGTATCGAATCTGTACCGACAATTTTTCTATATAGTTAAGTAATATTAAAATAAATTATATAAAATTTTTTAGAGACACTTTTTTTGGACTATAACAACCATTATCATTATCTGATCAATTATACCTAAAGAAAAGTCCCTCTACTTTCTTATATTAATTTTTAATTTTTTTTTTTTAATTTTTTAATTTTTAATTTATAAAAACGAGATATTTTGAAAGTAGTTGATAAGAAATCTAAATGGCCTTTATTAAAAACTTTATAAAATACAATAATAAAATATAATAAAATATAAATTAAAATTTAATAAATTGAAATAAGAATAAAATTTACAAATAAATAATGATTTAAAATATAGTATTATAATATTTTAAAATTGAACTTGCAATTATTTTCATTTATATAATTATGTATTTTTTTTATTAAATCTTAAGATCATGCTTCGCATAAAATGTTGCAGACACAAATTTAAAATACATTATTATCAATTGATCTAAGAGTTCATTTTCTACGAAAAATCGATTCATAGGCTTCTACTAATTAAAATCAGAACTATGTTAAGGTGTGCAATAACTTCTTTTTTTTATCTTTCCCAGATACCATTTTTATAATATTCTATTTTAGAAATTAGTAAATATTACTTATCAATGATTTTTTTAGTATTTTAAAGTTTTGCAAAATTTTGTAAAAGTCGTTCTTACCTTTGGAAGTGTCCTAATAAAGAGTCGGTACACCCACGGTGCCATCTTGTGTGTCACCGGCGACCGAAAATTAACGTTGAGCACCGCGATGGTGACCACAACAGAAAGTGTGACCAGCACCATAGTGAAGAGCAGGTACTTGCCCAAGAGGGGCACTGTGAGCGAGGTCGGCGGAATGATTTCGGCCAGCAGCAGGAAGAACACGGTCAGAGACAGCAGAATAGAGATGCAAAGTGACACCTGACAACCAAAATCAAACACATATCTTCTTATTTATGATGATTTCTATACGATTATAATTTAAGAATAAATAATTAAAAAAAAGAAAGAAAATTTGAAATAAATATGCAATAAATTTTGCGCTTCAGAGTTAAAAAACAATAATTATTTTACAAGTAAATGGATTTCAAATAAAGTTGATCAAAATACACAATTCTTTCAATATAAACAGAAGAATGAGAATATTTTACGTTGAACCTGATTCAAATAATGACCTTTAAATTTAAAGGATTTTAAATTCATTTGAAAAACATGATAAATATTGGTTTTAAATGACGAGTAATTTAAATAATAATTTATTATTTTTTCAACTAATTAACCAATTCATTTTCAATTATGCAAATAATTTCTGACCTTTTCTCCTGAATCTGAGGGCAGGTAGAAGACGAGCACCGACAAAAACGAGATGCCTACACAAGGTATGATCAGGTTGACCGTGTAGAAAAGGGTCTTTCTCCTGAGAGTGATGTTGAATATAATGTCGGGGTAAGGCTCCTCGCAGCAGCTGTAGAACTTCTCGTTTCGCACCGCAGGCACTCGCATGATGTCCCACTCGACGCTCAGGTAATAGTCCTGAAGGTCGATGCCCATGTCTATCGTGTCCGACCCTGGTGTTTGCGCCATGTGCCGCAAGTCCACCTGCAAAAAAAAACGTTTTTTACATTAAAAATAATTTTTTTGATTGCTTTCAAATAAATAAAACATTAATTTATTGAATAAAAAATAATATAAAAGTTATTATTAACACTGTTTAAAATGGAATGGTCGATTTTACGTATCTGTGGTGCAAACTATTGTTCTGGCGTATGCCGTAAAAGTACGTCTCTTCTCAAGAAGGGATTTTACCTGAGCGCCCGCACTTTTCCGCCTCCCCTCCCGTAGATGCATTTTACGGATTTGTTACAGAAAATTTCTCCCTTCGCACAGAATATTACGTACTGTGTCCGTATTTTTGTTTTACTTCTTTCATACGTAATTTTATGGTAGTTTTACAGAAAATCACAAAATTTATTTTTGCTATAAATGGCTACTTTTATTTAAAATAAATTAGTAATCACGGATTTACAGAGAACTCACATGAAGTAAAAATTAATATTGAGGTAGATGAAACTCTTGACGTAGTCTTTATCAGAAATTCCTTTTCGATTCGTATCTTGCGTTGATGAAAACACTGTCTGAAAAATAAAAATAAATTTCTTTAGCAAACATTGATGAGAAATCTCTGTATAAAATACCTTTTGCGCATTGCGAACAGAACTTCCATTGACGAGGGACTAGTTTATTCCAAAAGTGCTCACTTCAAATCCAATCTAAAAAAATAATAATAATAATAATAATGTGCATAAATTTTAGCTGTGCGTAATTTTTTGATATTAAATAAACGTATTTTCTTGAAATAAAAATGATGAATCCAAACTTACATTTTTAAAGTACTCGCGGAGGCCTCCAACTGGAAATACAGCGGCTTCGCTCCAAAATATTCCTAATTTTAGGAGATGTTGTGCCCGATGCAGCAGATGCAGCAAAGAGGAGTTCTCTTTGTGGCGAAAGACGCTTAACTGATTGCAGCCGAGGCGCGAGGGTTGAATTTTGTCAGTTGCTGGCGTGGGTGATGACGTTTTCAGCCTCTCTCCCTATTCTCTCCTGAGCTTTCCTCCCCTAACATGCATGCACTCAGGTAAAAGTCCGAAAGTGAGATGTAAAATTACGGATCTGTTACAGAAACTTGCGCTACATCCCAAATACGTAAAATCGCATATCAATTTCATCCGTAAAAGTATTTTACGACGCAAAGTACAGAAAATTACGTCTGTCCGTACTATTTTTACTTCGTTTCTGCCGTGACACGGACGTAATTTTCCGATTTTTTTTGACAGTGTTATTATTATTTTAAAATACATTTTTCTTTAAATTATTTTTTTCTAATCTGTTCATAAAACATAATTTACTTATTAATATTATGTTTCAGCCAATTTACTAATAAAAACTATTGAATATATATATTTAATCTCCATGATGCAATTTAAAACTAAAAAAAGGCAAATAAAAATTCTCTCGATTGCAGATACATTTGTGAATTCATTTTTATTTTTTTTATAGTTATTTCTCTTCGCAAATTCATCTGATGGTAGAATATTTCTTTTTCATTAAGATACGACCTGTTATTGTAAATGTTTTTTTCAAACGTCTCCTCATAGTATGAGGCTCATATACTTCATTCTATTTGGTGAAAATTTTGAATGAAATTATTCCTCTGACACTTATTTTTTTTTACAAAAATGACTAAAAATTTCTCCATTTTAAAATTTTTTATTCTACACATTTCAAAGCTAGGAAGAAAAAAACTCCTTTTTTGTTCTATATTTTTTTTTATAAAATAAATATGTACTTTTAAAAGTTTTGTTGATTCCGAGCACTCATATTTCCTTTACTATAATTGTTCAAAAATCCATATCATAATATATATGGCATCACGAATATTTAAAAAGAAAAAAAACTGTATCCTTTAAATTCATGCACAGTTTTAAATCTGAGTTTAACATAATTCGTGAAGTATCCATTATTTTCAAAATTCATTTTTGAGGCAGCACAACAATTTTACTTTCACCCGTTCCAAACACCCACGCAAAACTCTCATCAAAATCAGACGTCCCTCTTGGAAAAAAAACACAGCTTGCCAGAATTAATGAGTGGAAAAGCGGCTTAGCGATGAATGGAATGCGCGAAAATGAATTCGCGAGCCGCTTTTCACGCACAGAAACAGAGAGAGTGGCAATTAATTCGCGAGCGGTTTTTGGGCAAAACCGACGGATGGAGCAGGCAGACAATTATTACACGCGCGGCGCATTTTTCGCGCGCCGAGAGCGAATTTGACTTTGACAAATCCAAGTCATCCGCGAGACAGACGGTGTCGTTTAATTACGCATCTCGCTCTCTCCGCGGCGCGCGTGATTAATTAGCCGTACTTCAGCTCGCTTCCCATTTGTTATTAATGGCCGCGTTAATGATTGATGACGCGCCTGTTGTCGCTGCCGCTGCAATTACAGAATTACACTGACTCGCCGGCGAAACGAGAACCATTAAATATTTCACTCTCATGCATACGCTCGCGACGCATTTGTCCTGTTTGATGGCCGCCGTCCGTCCATTCGCCCACAATGTCACTCACTATACATTTACACGGTGAATTTTTCACTAAGCAAAGAAAAATTCATGAAAAAAATCTGTGGTTAACGATTTTGGTAGTTTTTAATAAAATTTTTTTATTATATTTCTTTTTGTTAAATTTAATTTAACAATGAGGATTATAATAAAGATGTTGTATTGAGATTATAAAAAAAAAATAATAATAATATATGTTGATTTTTTGTGATCTTTACTTACAATTAGAAAGTGAAAGTTTGTAATGCAATCTTAAAACAAAATCAGTTAGGGACATTTTTGTTTTGCATAAAATTGTAAATGGAGTAAGAAAAAGTGATTAAATTAATTTTCATGTTAAATATAACAATTATTTGATTTAATGCTCAAAATTTTTCATTTTCAGGAGCACAGTGCGTTGTATTTTCTAGAGACAGCGACTTAGTTTTAGATGATGATCATTATCTGATCAAGTAATGCAGCTCAAGGCAATTTACTGTTCTATATATTTATTTTTAAAAGTGTATTGCGCAAAAACAATATATTGTTTAACTATGAAGTCGATAAGATCATCTATAATTGAAAACTTTTTAAAATACAAAAATAAATTATAATCGAATATATTTGATAAAGAATAAAATTTACAATTAAATAATGATTTAAAATACAGTTTGTAAAATATATTAAAATAATTAAACTTTTGCAATTCTTTTTAATTGTATATTATTCAATTATTAAATAAAATTTTGCTGACACACACTAAAATTATTATTACTTTAGTGTTGTAATTTTTTTTATGCCTAAAATTTTGTAAGGGATTTTTGCTAATGCTTGATAAATTTTATCATATTTTTAACTAACTCTGCTAATGTCAAGATTTTAAAATAAAATAGGTTGAAATTAATACTGACCAAGTACCCGTCGTAAGTCCACGAGCCGAACTTCATGAAGCAGGTCTGCTCGTCGAACGGGAAGTACTCGACGTCAATCTCGCAGAAAGACTTGTAAATGGCCGGAGGTTTCCACGTGACCTTGCCCGTGTGGTTGAGAATCGCTTTGGTCATGATGGTCACCTCGTAGTTGCCGTCGGCACTGCGCAAATGCACACACAAACACCACATCATAGATTTTATCTCGGTTGAATTATGAGGCTGGCAGGCACTGGGCTTTGCATATGCATTTAGCTGGGGTTCATAATCAAGTTAGGCATCGCTAGAGCTGGCTGGATGGCGTTTTAATTGATATAATAATTGTTCAAAACACCTACGCCTGGCAGAGCACCGATTTTAATTGGATAAAAGCTTTTCTTTGTAATGCAATTTTTAATCCATTATAAAAATTACAAAATTAATCCATTAGGGTAGAAAGCTTATGGAAATTTCTGTTCAATTAAACAAAATTCATTTAGTAAATTTAGTTCCCGTAAATCAAAATTAAATTATTTTAAGGAATTTCGCCTCTGCTAGTAATTTTATAGAAATAACTTCTTATAATTTAAAAAGAAAAACTGCAGAATAAATTATTTTCCACCTCGATGCAATTCCCGGGCGTGCAATTCTACTTTGGCCAATAAGGGTTTTTTCCCGGCCGTCTGGCCCCATAACCGGGATTACCGGCTGGGACGAGGATTTGGGGAACTCACTTGTTGTAGAGCACGATGTCGGGCAACCAGATGTGCTCCGAGGGCACGTGCAGAGTCTCCACTCCTCCGTAGTCCTCGGGGTTCCACTTGAGCTTGTAGTCGTGCCACTCCTGGGAGACACCAGAAAAAAAGAGAAACGAGTTCAGTGTGTGACGAGCGTCGATTCGCCCCGGATCGGGCCCATTTGCTAAATTAAAATTGGGGGCGGGATTGTTTTTTCATTCTCGTGCTTACCTGCTCGACCCACACGTTGGTTGTCATGATTTGGTTCTTCAAGTTCTGCAACAAAAATGGAATCGTTTGATTATAAAGACAAGCAGGGTTCAAAATTGTCAAAATACTGAAGAACAAACAGTATTTATAGCATTATTTTATGATTTATGATTTCAAAAAATTAATTATGAATTTAATCAGTTTAATTGCTGCTTTCTAGCATTTATAGAGAATTAGAATTTTTTGATTAAAAATGAGATAATATATCTGCACTTTAGAGGCAAAGATTGAATCAACTTTATCCAATGGTAAAAAATGTGAATTCTATATATTGTGTTGATATTAGATGTTAAGAATTCATTGGTTAATTAACCCTTCAAATTCATAAGCTCCACCATAAGCTTAACCATGATAAACATTTGTAATTTTTTTCATTTTTAATCTAGGTTGCTTTTTCCCCCTCCTAATTATATTAATATTTTCAGCGTTGAAAACTTGTATAAACACCATGTATCTTTCTTTGATATCAAACTGATATTTCTTTGCTCTTTTAATTGTTTAATTGAAGTTTATCATTTATCATTTCAAGAGTTATCTTTTTTTAGCTCTAAATGATCAGAATAAACAATTTTTCAAAAAATCATTCTCGACAGTCGTTTTAAAACTATTTAATCCTTAAAAAACTTATTAAAATTAGAGAAAAGAAATAAAAAATTTCCGATTTATCACCTGAAACAATTTGGCAAAATAAAACTTTTCCATTTTGGCAGTTGAAGTAATTGAAAATAGCAAAGCTTAGCAAATAAATAGTTCTTCATTTTCCTTTAATTAGAATTGGAAGTTTAAGACGCCATTAATTTATTGCCTTTCCCCAAAAAAGAGCGGATGTTGATGTCTGCTTCTGTAGAAAACCCTCTTTGTCTCGGTTTGATACAAAGTCAAAATCTGGTCGGTTTCAAGTTGTTCCCGGTAGGAAAGGACGAGTGGCACGCAATTGTAGCGCACCTAATTTCTTCTTGGCCCGTTATCCGAGCCACATACACACGAAAGTATGTTACTGGAAAGAGGCCGCACAACTTTCTTAGCGGTGGGTGGCGCTTTTGCTGGCGGCGCTACTCGTGTGTGCGCAGCCGAGCAAAAAATCCGGCGAGCAGCAAAAAGTCGGCATAATTAGGAAACTTTGGCTCACTTGGCAAGGGCATGCATTAGACGTACGAGAGGCCGTTTCTAATATGTGTGTCTTAAATTTCGGAGGCCGCCGCCGGGCGAGCGAGCGGGGGCGTGCCCGCCCAAGAGGAATGCAAGTGAGGGTGCCAAAAAGTGCGCTATCGATCGGCAGGCTAATCCTGCCAGATTGCCCGCCTGCTGCCTCCGCTCGAATGCATCAGGCCGAGGACCAGCGCCAGAGCGGCCTAAACGTGCCTCAAATAGCTCCACTCCCTGCTACCAGCTCGCACTTTCCGTTCATTCGGGAGCTGCAAATTGGACCTAGAGGCACCGGGAAGCTGTCAATATTTGCTTCAGTCTTCAACTTTTTTTCTTCAAACGAGTGTGTCGAAATTGGTTAGTAAATTGGCTGGATTTATAGGGGGAATAATCTTTGAATCGGCATAATTTTATACAAGTTTTATAATAAGTAGCAAAAATGAAACATTTTGACTTGAAATTGGTTTTTTAATTGAAACTCGGCTTATTCTCAATTGTCGTTTAATGTTTCAAAGCAAAAACAATGTCATCCTGCTGTACATGTTTCTGCTAATGAGGGCAGAAGCCATAATTACTAAAAAGATGTAGAAAAATTTGACGAAAAATTAAAAATATTATTTATTAATTTTCCAAGATTTCATGTAACATGTCTGTTTTTTTTTTAATATTAATAATTTATTTCTTTTATGTAGTTTTCGCTCAATGTTTTTTTTATAAAAATTCCAACGATTTTTTAAGCTTTAATAAAATGCAATTGAGCTCACAAATTTTACATAATATGTTTGAAAGCTAATAGAAAAATTAGAAAAGCACAGTTTAATTCTATTAAATTTGTGCAAACTACAATATCTCATAGCGAAAAAATGAAAAGAACAATAATTTCCATAATTAAAAAGAGGAAACCATTTCAATTTTATACAAACATTTTCTCCCTCAAAAGAACCAAAGAGAAGTGAAAAAAATTTCTGATTTTTTTATTTCTCTGGAAAAATGTGCCGTTCATGAAAGATTCAAATGTTTCAATAATATAAAAGAAGTAAGATTTGTAAATTTATTTCTATTTTTAAATACAAAATTTTTAAATTTATTCATAAATTAGAAAAAAAATGCAAACATTTTTTGTAGGACGTTGGAAGTACAATAAAGTGAATATTTTCTCATTCAATGTAGTCCATTAAAGAGTAATGAAGGTTCTTTTCTTAAATTCATGTAAATTGATATCCTTTTTTTTATACAAAACTCGCTGAAATGATCATTTCGCTTTATAAAAACTTAATGCGTTTATAATGAAAGCAGTCTGCGAATGTTTCCACCTGATTGAGACTTTCTCCAAAATCACTTTTAAAGCGTCGCTCTGCTTTCCCCTTTTTGCCAGTTTCTGAAGCCAACCTACCGGGCTAATTAGAATAATGACGAATTGAAACTGAATAGCACGCGGCGCTGACTGACTGGCTGAGAGAGCAGAGGCAGCTTTTTGTTCCTCTCGCTCTTTTTGAAAGGGCCTCTCCACAATTCTGCCGCTGCGAATAAACCCTCCAGAGCTTCCAATTCGTTTATTATTACGCCGGGATCGATAGTCGATTGTTCATTACTTACTCGCTCTATTCATTTGCCGCCGCTCTCTATACTCTTCTCTCTCTCTTCTCCACTGCGCCGTAATGAGAAATGCAAAAACAAAAGCAGCCCGGGCGTAATTAAAGCAGCACCACGCCGGTGGGATTAATATGTATTGCGCAGACATAATAGGCGAGTGCATCGCCCAGACAAGCCTTCCATACCCGCGCTTTTCTACGTGAAACTTGACAAGCGCTAGTTTATAAAGAGGCTGTCAACATTATTTCAGTGCTAATTTCTGGAATAAGCACAAGTTCACTTTGAACCTAAATTTTAAGCTTCCGTCAAAATCTCACAATATTTTTCAGATGGGCAAGGTTATTTTAATTTATTTTACCTGGAGGGAGTACAAATAATAGTTCTGCAAAAAATTTAATTTCAACTTCGATACGTTTGATACTTAAGATTGCATTGCTTTTATAATTGATGTAATAAAAATTTTGCATTGAAATCAATGCAATAAAATTGTTGGGAGAAAAAATGCAGTAAGTAATGTTATCAAATTTTTTACTTCAAATTATGAACAAAAGTATTGTATGATTAACAGATTAAAATGAGTCAATGCCATTACTGATATTGATTGAGCCAATGTAGCGGATGGAAATATTTAAAACTTAGTGACTTTAAAACAGCAATCGCTAACTAACGATTGAAAAAACAAAAAATTCATAAAAAAGTATATTTTTAAAAAATAATATGATAACAAAAATAAGAAAAAATTAAATAAAATTTTATGTTTATTAAATTATATAGCAATGAAAAATAAAATTATAAGTTTTAAAAACAATTTATATATTCTTATATAATTTTAGTCAATGTAAGTAATAAAATGTTAGACGATTTAAAATTAAAGCAAAAACAATTGCATTTCCTAGCAACATAGATTGTATTATACGTAATGTAAACGTTATTAAATTTGTGTCAGTTTTAAATACGCTTATTGAATTATATTGAGCAATAAAGCTTAAGCTTATTAAAATCTAAATGAATCGGAAATTGTGGTGATTAAAAATAAATTTTTAAAATGTATGAATTACATTTTCATATCGAACCAATCACCATTATTCTAATTAATCCTATTAGTGGTTTTAAATGACCATAAAAAATATTTTAGTACTTTCCTGACTAAACTTCCCTATAATGACAACCGGAAAAAGAAGGTAATTCCACATTTTGTATTTGTACTTATTTACCTCTTTAGAAAATTATTTTTCAAATCAATTACTTAAAAGCAATGAGCCTTCTGAAAGCCTTCAAAAGTAATATTTTTACACTAAATATGACTAAAAAAAGACCAATTATAATTTTATTTTGGGCAATAAGGAAAATTTGCGTCAGTTTTGTCCTTGGATTAGATCGAGTTGGCGATTTTAGTGCAAAACAATTGCAGCAGCAGATCGTTGGTAATGTGGGAAGGAAGGTGTTTACTTTTAGTGGCGCCCAGGGGCTGCTGGATTAGATGCCGCTTTTTGCTCACTGGTCATCTCTCTCGTGTGCGCGGCCAGTTGCATACCCTCTCCGGCGTTCAGCAACAAAAAACAGTCGATGCTGCGCCGGAGCTGCGGTTGGATTAATTTAATAATCCAAATCAGTCAGCGAGGTGGAACTAATCTGAGCTAATCTATAAATTACCCGCCCAACAAAAATATAACCGCTTCTTCTGCTCTCAGGGGTGGTGATTAATTAATTTGCATGACGGTGGCGAGTTTTGTATTAAATGATTGCATACAACATCGACACTACTTATTAGTGTTGCACCGCAGCGGTGAAGTTTTAATGAAAGCAGTACAATTACACTCTGCGCTGGTCTTTCTCTTTATTGCTCTGCGGCTAACAAAGTTTTATGCACATTCAGAATGCATGCGGGAATCGCTTTATCAAAGATTATTGCATTTGCCGCCGACGCGCGGATCACAGTGGAGTTTGTTCATTAAATCTTTTAATTGGATTGAGTTTTTACTGCAAAAGTTTAAGACGGGTAGAATTGATGGGCGTAACGTGATACTTTGGTGCAGCTGACGACGGATTTTATCAATGAAGGAGTCTACGTTTTTAATACACAGAAGCTCTGCCATTGAATTACAAGAAATTAAGTAACTTTGAATAATGAAAGCAATGATAAAATTTATGAAAATATTAACGAAAGGCTTATAATCCTGAAATGAAAAATTTTATGCCGGATAATTAAAATTATATTCATTTTGTTTGGGAATAAAGATAGCATATTTTTAAAATTTTATGACAAA